TTCTTCCCCTTAGGTGAAGTTGAATTAGGTGGTTGTGTGGCAGAGAAGGAAGCAAATGCTGGTAAACCTGAGCTTCCAATAAAAAAGTTGAAAACCTTGGAAATTCATCTTGTACAGCAATTAACTGCCAAGTTGTTCCATAATACAACAAAACCAGCATTGTGAAGATTGGGCGCACAGGCCTGATGAACAGGTGATTTCCAAGTGTTAACTCCCTGTCCCCACCCCCACCCCCATAACCTTAATCCTTCCTGCTCTCTGAATATTATAAACCAGTACCTTCTCCTTTTGTCTCTGCCTCGAGCACGTGCACCATGCATCCTCTGGTCAATTAAAAAACCAAATATAAAAGTTCATTCTGGACAGAATAAAGTTATATATGCTGTTAGTGCTACAGATGAGAACTTGTGTGGTGTGGTAGTTAGAGTGTTAGTTTGGGACTTGGGAGTCCTGGGTTCTAGTCCCCACTCAGCCACAAAAGTTCACTGGGTGACTTTAAGACTGTCACTCTCGGCCTGATTGAATACACCAGGTGGTTATGAGGATAAAATGGAGAGAGAGAGAAATATTCTAAGCTGTCTTGGGTTCTTGCAGGAGGCAGAAAAGCAGGTTATAAATATTGGAGGAGGCGGAATAGTGTAGCAAATCTTTTAACACATCCAGCTGTTATTGCTGTGATTTTAAAGAGCAACCTATGCTGGATGATACTTCATATTAGAGGAGAGTTATATGGAAAAGAAAAAGAGGACTTGTAGCATGGAATAAACTCATTTAAAGCATCAGGAAAACAGCTGATTGCCACATGGCCCCTAGATTTGGGGCATGAAACACTTCCTTGAGAGCAAGTGGCCTCATATACTTATTTCCTGGAACAACTCCCCTCGTGCTCCCCCCGCCCCACATTTCTCTCTCAGCTGCACCTGCTCAGGATTATGTTCTCCCCTTCCCTGCTACTGGACAGAGGATAGGAGTAATAAGGACTGAGGTTGGTGGTGGCAAGAAAGGATGCTGTGAAATCTTGCTACATGTGCAGGGTAAAATGTGCATGAGCTCCAAATAGGGGTGTGCAGGCACTGTAAAATTTGTGTTCTGCAGACTGTTGATTCTGTAGTCTCTTGTCTCTTCTTAGGGTGATGGAATCAGATGTGGGATGAGTTTGTGTGTATCTGCACAAATCCCACCCCCAGTATGCAAATTGCTGTGAGCTCACTAGATGGCTTTAGCCAGGCCACACCCTCTCAGCCTTGGCCCACCCTCCCCAGCCACCATGGGGGATAGCAAAACGGACTTGCTGTGCAGGGTTACAACTAGATGATGCATAGGAAGCACTTTGAACAATTGGAAATAATCTAAAAAGAAGCTCCTGGTGGTTTCCTGTTAGATCTGCTCCCACTCCTCATGAACTACTTCAGATCTAAATGTGTTTTGGTTTTGTAGATTCCTTGACAGTGGCCCCTACAAATTTTCAGTGTAAGGTCTTTTTGACCTTAACTCCCCACCCCGCCCCCGCATGTACTTTTTAGGGTCCTCTCAGCCACACTGCTAGCTGTGCTGAGTTAGTTTCCTGTCCTACCCAGATCTAGTTGCTTCATTCATATACCCAGCGTTATCATTCTCCTTTGTTATAATTCTTAAGCTTAAAACCTGCCCAATATAAAGTTGTCTTAAACAACAGACTAACTGCTGCATTCATGTATGGAAGCCACTCCAACAAATCCACTCCTCAGGCACTTGGAAGGTTGGCTGTGTGAAGTGAGTGTCCAAACCACCATTTAAAACGAGCTTAGTTAAGTAAAGTCTGCGGTGTTTTTACTGTAATTGCCTTCAGCTCAGACTTTGTCTTCAGGATTGACCAAAGCAAACCAGCTCTTCCAGTCTCTCCCTATGATGTTGTAACAGGCTTTCCACCAAAGATGGAAACAGGGAATGCTGTTTTTTGCTTTGGAAGTTGTGTCCTCCCTGTGGTGACAAATTGGCTCTTGTGGAGATTTGTGGTATTCACTCTCAGTGGGTGCTTGTGTGTCTTTCCTTCTGTGCTTGAGGGCCACATGGTAAAAGAAGCTCAAGGTTGTGCCTCAGGCTGTCTTATCAAGGGACAAGCTCAGGTGCTTTCTGAAGTATTGATCTGCTGACAGATAGGCAGGCCAGAACCCTTCCTGGTTTGCCTCTTTTAAGCTTTTCCTGAAGCTATTTCCATCTTGGTGGGTTAACACTCGCCCAAGTAAAACACAAATTTAGAACAGATGCACATAAAAGACACTATGTAGGAAGACAGTGTGAATGAAGGTTTTATTTTATAGCTCTAGTATTTGTCAGAATAAATGGCAAAACATGTCTGTCTTTTTAAAGTATGCTTTATTGACTTTTAGAACAAACTGCTTGCAAGTTTCCTTGTATGGGAATGTCTTAGTTTTGCACTCAAGATACTGTATAAAACAATACACTAGATTCTATTAAATACTCTTTCAGATGGTCAGCTTCTTTTTCTGACCAAGCATTGTGGTGAGTGTCTTCTTAATGAGCTCCATGTTTCCCAGCCACAAAGTTCATGCTCCTCAGCACCTGCTGAATTGAGGGTGCCAGCGGAGGGATTTAAGGACGTCTGTGCTACCTGTTGTAGAAATCGTCCGTTAAATCAATAGACGCTGTAGAGTGAAACTCCTTGGTAAAGAAACTGTACCTGCCTCTCCTCAGTCAGGCCCATGTGAAGGCCTGGAGGACAGGCATGCCTCAACTGGCAGTGCTGAAGTGTCTGACTGGCAAAGCTCAGCTGCCAGACAGGCTGGTTTACCCGTGTTTTACCTAACTGGAAGCATTCCACTTAATTCATGCCTAAGAGGGGTTCCTTGCTTGTAGCCAGCTTCCAACCTGCCCTGTTAATTGATGTAAACATGGGCTGTCTCTTTGAATGAGTAGTTGTGAATCTGATTCACCACTGCCTAGACACCTCTTCCCTTTTCAGTGGAGAACTCGAGGAAGCAGCTGTTCCCTCACAATTGTAAAATGATTATGAATGCTGGCGCTGGGTGAGAAGTGGGAGAAACTGCTGCCAATCTGTTCCAGTTCTGTGCTGGATTTGAGTGAGCCTGTCCATTTAAAGAGAGCTGTTAATTGCAGTCTGAAACCCACCCAACCCTGCCAAGCTAAATGAATTTCCATGTTCGAAGGATAACTTGATCCAAAAAGAAAGCTAAAGGACTCTTAACAAAGGCTACTCTTGCTCATCTTTTGAGAGTTTCTCTGTGAAAAACATGGTTAAAAGTCTTCATTGTTCTCTCTTCCTCCCTTCCCCCATTCAAGGTACACCTGCTTCTCCTGTCTGTTGGTGCAGACAGTGATATAAAATGGAGCTGCTCTTGTCTCTTTCTTTTGTTTTCTTTTTTAAAGCTCATCAAATGAGTGGATGAGCTGGCTGATGAGCTCAGGAAACCAGAATATGGACATAGGGTACATTGTCATTCTAATACATTATGGGAAGTCTGCAAACAAAGCATGTTAGAACAGTTAGTTCCCAGCTCCAGGTCATTGTGTCCAGGCAGGGAGCAGGGGCTTGCAAGAAATTACAGTGTTGCTTCCCCCGTCTACTTTCTTTAAAGTTTCATGCTCTGCTTGTCTGAGATTTCCTAAGCAGCACGTGGGAAACTGAACAAGAGCCGATAGACCAGTTCTTCCTACATATGATCTCATGTGGCTTTCCAGACTGAAAGCAGCTTAGCTTATTTCTCTTCACATGTGTAATAGGGTGTCCTTTGCTGCTTTCCTCTTGCGGTAGGGATGTGCTGATCTGCCCTAGCACTTGAAAGAGCAAAATAGTTGTCATTCTTCCGGAGTGGCTTTTTGTTTGGCTGTGATGTCATCATTGGAATCTTTTTGAAAAGCAGGACAGCAGCTCCCTATGGAAGCCCTTTTGATTTCTTTTATTTTTCTCAGAAATACTGTCCAGGATGAGGTCATAGCTGATCCTGGGGTTCAGCCCCTGATATCTCCAGTCCAAGGGCTTCTGGTAGCAGGGCTAATGGAAGTTAGGAAGCAGCAAGAGGGAGCAAATAGTCCAAGCTGTGTACATTAATATTCAGGAGGCCAGCTGTCTCTATTTACTTGTAAGGGCTACTTCCCAAGAGGGAGAATCTCAAAACACTCATGAAATCAAATGCGCCCTCTTTCCCTAGACAGCTGGGTCTTTGTCTTGGTGCTTTGCTCCCAAGACACCCTCTGCTTGCAAATCTGGAATGCTGTTGCCAGGATAAATTTTAACTGGGCTAAAGATTTGACCCTGTAAGACAACTGCAGCAGACTTCAGCACAGTAGGTGTCAGAGTTCTTGTTGCTGCTGGCGAGGTTTAAAGAGTCAGGGAAATGCCATGTAAGATATTGTTGCTTTGCTTAAGATCACAGAGCTCCTTTCTATGGTTGATCGCTTGCTGAAAATCACATAGACAAAGTGAGAATGAGAAACTTCTCAAAACTAATCCCTCTCTCACACCCACTTGTACATAAGGTGCGATGATAGAACAAGTCAGGGCTGGACTGTTCAATCTCTTTCTAAAGAGTATTTTAAGTCCCCCAAATCTTGTTCTAAAGAGCATTTCAATAATTGGGTAAAATTGGTGATATATCAGCACATGAGAATCAAATGGTTAAGAGTAGGTTGAGTGGAAAGTGGAGTATCTTTGTAACATTTTGAAATAATAAATTACAGGATAGCATTCATCCATATTTGATGTTTTTGTTAGTCTGAATTATGAATTCTGCATCTGTAGGATAAGTTTTTATTTGCTTTGTATGTTTTATTATTTATACTGTATGTTACACACACATACATTTCCTCTAGTCTACCAACCTTTATCTTGACATATTTCTTGAACCCAGGATTCAGTATATTATGAGTTCTCTTGCTGCTGCATAAGTAAATGCATTGTGTTTGTTTGGACATAAACCAGAATTCTTGTTCTTATGCTTTGTTTGTGCTTAATGCTTTGTTTGTGTTTGTCCTTCCACCAGACAGTTGAACATGGCTTCCCCCACCAACCCAGTGCCCTGGGTTACAGTTCTTTCCTCCGTCTTATGGCTATTGGGACACGGTCAGGAGCTATCAAACTGTATCCTTTTACTTGTTCCCTGAACTGGAAAAAGGCCTCCAGCAGCAGTAGGTATTCCAACTGTATGGGTAGACTTTCCATTCCTGTTGCATTCCCTTCAGTGCAGCTTTCTATACATTAACTCAGCTTGGGCATTCTCCCTTGCATGCAGGGTTCCAAATCTCAACTGCATTGAGCAAGCTACAAAATTCAGACTTCCCCCTCCAACACATGGAAGACAATAAGGCTGGGAGACAAACAAGATACTTGCTGCCCCCATCCTCTCCATTGATTGTAATTCTGCAAGGGTGAATATTTGCATAATGTACGTTGGATATGGTAGGGGGAGTAGGGCTGAGAAAATGCTGACTCAGTGCCTAGTCACTTTGTGATGGACTAGGGTAACCTGGTCAGGTGAGTTTGGCATAAGAGAGGTTCCACTGAATAACTCAAGTGAAATCTGCAAAACTGTGACTTTAAAGCTAATCTAGGCTTGTGGAAAGTGGTGCTCATAGACAAATAGTTTATTAACCACATTCCAATTCTGGTTTAAATATCCTACTACAGAAGAAATGTCTATTTTTAGCAAAGTCCAGGATTAGTGGTTTGAATTTTGAGTCATAAATAAAGCTTTGGCTGTCTTGTACTGGTATCCCTAAAATGCCAGACTAACCGAGAGAATGTTAAAGGTGCTTCTCTTTCATCCATCCCATCCATATGTGTAGCATGTGTATGAAGGCAATCCTGATTCCCATCAAACTGAGTCAGCTAAGCAGTAAAGGGTTGGGGTGGGGGAAATGCCTGACTCCTTTCTAGCGGCATTGTTTTTTCTAGCAAGGCTTCCCTTCAGGAAGGCTCTTGCAAGAAAGGGTTGAGCCATCTGTCAACTGGTTATGGATTAAACAGGGATTGCAACATCCGGAGGCATCTTTGAGAAGAGACAGGCTCCAGTCATCCCATCTTTCCCAACTCCCAAAGTGCTACACAAGGGCATGCTTCCCCTGGTAAGCGAATTCAAACCAGGTGGACATGTGCACATGAAAGTCATCTGCTAACACATTTCAAATAGGATTTCCGAACAGCTCTTGCCTGTTAGCTAGCAAATATTTCGATAAGCTGTGCCTACATTTCTCTCACCATATAAATTGGGGGGTAAATGGCTGTATTTATGTCTGCTACATGCCTCTTCTAAGTAGTGGTAATAATTCTCTATAATTACAGGTACATGTCAAATTACCTGGGGTGACTTCAGCATAATGGTTGCCACAGTATAGGAAGAAATCACTGTTACTATAAGATAGAACTTATTTCATGCAAGTTGAGTGCAGCAAAATAATTTTAAAAAACACTACACTCAGATGCTATTGACCTCAACCAGTCATCCAGCTATGGAACTCCGGGAGTTGAATTCATGGGTTTGCATGAAGAGACCAACACAGTTGTACAAATACATTTCATTCCTGGGCAGGTGAGTAGAGTTCAGGTAACTGCTTTGTGTGTTATCTGTTTGTTTTCAAACTTCTGTAGTCTATATGGATTTTAGTGACTGAGATGGACTTTTCCCCTCATCTACCATAATATAAAACACAATAAGGATCATGCAGATTTGACTATGAGAAGATTCAAAACTTCTGAATAAACTTTTTTTATTTTTTTAAAAAAGGTACTTTTCTGAACCTGGAAAAATCCTGGCCAAGTGGGGCAAAGAGTGTTTCCTTAAGGAAGGAAGCCAAACTCTGAGCCCAAATGTGCAATTGCAGAGAAGGAGAAGCCTCCCTAACCCTGCCTTATCTATACATGCATGCCAATATCCAATTTTTAAATGTAATGCCTCATTATCCAAAAGCAAGATCTGTTTATGCCTCCTGCTGTAGCCCTGATGTGGTTGCTAGCTCAGTTCTTTGGGGTCTACTGTGGCTGGAGATCCACCTTGATTCCTTACCAGAAAACCCACAAATTTCTGAACTCATAGGAGAACTCTTGCTTGGGGCCTACCTCCAGTATGGCTGAGAGCTACCAGGTGAGATGGAGAAAGATTCCAGCTTTGTGGGCTCGCTCCTTTGATGATTCAGTAGCCAGATTCCTGCACAGATCCAGTGCTGCTTGGTGCTACGTTCCCTCTTAGTTCTATTTGTAATTGAGAGACTTGCGTCAGGCAGGCCGCCACCTCCGTGCTGCAGGAAGAAAAGAGAGAACAAAAGTGATCGAACAGCATTGCTGGAGTCAGGAAATTACTATGAACAATTCAGGAAGTATCCTAAAAATGATTCATTTCTTGTAGTATAGGCTCTTGTACATTAGAATTACGAGCTTACACAACAGTAAACCGATTCTCCCTTGAAGGGCTCTCACACTCAAGTAGGCTTAGCCCAGCTTCCTAATTTGGTGCGGTCTGTGGACTGAAGAGAGTTCCGACACGTGCTTTTAAAACTGGGTTTGCTTATATCGGAGAAGAAAACATCCGGAGGAGGAGGGCATGCTAAATGTCTCTCTATCTGGCAGTCACAAACTGCTCACGATTCCAGTCTAGTGGGAGCAGGCTGTATATGTTGTCACCTCTTGCTCCTAAAAATAAGCAAGCCCTGAAACCCGCCGTCCTGCTTTCTTTCAGTAGGGTCAGCAGCCAGGTAGCTTTTGATTATGCTGGAGAGGAAAGCAAGTTTGGTTAGCACTTGGCATTTGTCCTGAGTGATTCACGTCCACGTAGGGCAGGGGTCTCAAACTCAACTGACCTGGGGGCCACTGGAAGTAGAGTCTGGGTGAGGCTGGGCCACATCAAGTATTCCACCCCCACGGTGGGGGTGGGCCGCTCATCCCGCGTGGCTCCCGGAGGCCGGCCCAAGCACCGCCGCCAACGCTTTGAAGGCCGCAGGGCTCCTGCCCCGTGCCCCGCCCCGCCCGGCCCGGCCTGGCCATTGGCCCGCGAGTTTGAGACCCCTGATGTAGGGTATAAACTTTGCACATGGTTTTACCTTAAATGCAGCATCACTGGAACCATGTTGTAAGAAGACAGGTACCGTGTGCAGCAGCTGCTTGATCTGAGTACTTGAAAAGTACAAAATGTCATGTATAAAGAGGCCCCCCTGCCATTTATCTTCAGCAATCGTTCACAGATGCCCTTTATGTAGTACTCAGAGCTCAGCTTGCTGCCTTCCCTGGAAACTGACTCCTGGATAACACAGTTCTATCAATGCACTCCCCAGCTTATTACCCAGCCCCCCTCCCCAAATGCTGTGGAGCCCTTTTAAAAGGCTCTGAGGTTAGAAAGGAAGAATTCTGTGATGGTGATCATGTTTTAGCACTTTTCTTTGTTCACTGGCAAACCCAGGACTGATCCTCCTGCCTCATTGTAAACATGTAAGGAGAAAATTTCAGGAATGAGCAGCAACTGCAGTGAGTGTGACATAATGTTGGCATATACTCATGGGAAACATTGCCTGTTCTGCTAGGTGTGGTTTCTGCAGCTAGACGGCTTGATTCTTAAATGCCTAAATATTGGTTTGGGGTTGGGCTCGTAACAAATATTCTGGGGCACTGCTCCTTTTAGAACGAAGTCAGACATGAAAGAATGCAAGGTGAGAGGAGAAGATTGAAATACACTACTCGCATCAAAACAGGGTGGGGATGTGTTTCACTCGGAGGACTAGGAATTAAATTATGAGCCAAGCAGAGCCTGCGCATACAAACAAGAAGTGCAGAAAGGTGCAGCCATCTTTTCGGGTCCTGAACAGTGGAGCCCGGACTCTTGACTGTTTGTCATCCACACTAAGTGAGGCCCTGTGAAGAACCCAGACATGATGGCCAGGCTCTGCCCAGGGACTTCTCTATGTCAGCTGGACAAAACAGCAGGAAAGGACTCTGAGAGTTAGTGCTGCAGGTATGGGAGAGTGAGGCAGATAGAGGCTGATACTATTGTGATTCAGAAAAGGCTTTGCACAGGTGGGATTAGGAGAGGAAAGTGGCTTAGAAAGTTAGGAGAACTATTTCCAAGCATAGAAATCGACGTAGAAGAAGGCATTAAGGTAATAGCCGGAGCAGCACAGTCACTGATGAACTTGTACATGACAAAGAGGAACATTTTTACCAACTGGAACAAGTAATGAAATGCATTCAAGTTCACTTGACATGTATCATTTAAGCCCCCATCCCCTATCCCACTCATAGCCTGTTTTCCCTGCTCAGAGGGTATTCACTCTGTCATCAGGCTCCAAATCTGGTAGCATATCCAACAATAGATAGTACCTTGACAGCTGACTTGGAACGTTCTGCATTCATTTATTAGCTTGTTGAACCAACTTGAAAAGATTCCATCGAATAGACAGACAGCAAACCAGTTGAGCACTGATGCTAAGTTTAGATTCTGAAGTGCCTGCATCTCTGTGAAATGTTGGTGCTTGTCTTCTTTTTGACAGCTGGAACTAAATTCTAGAATTCTGAAAACTGCATGCTAAAGTGCTGTTTATTCGGTTTTGGTTTACATTGCTTAGCACACTTTCCTGACAAATTGCTACATTACTGCTGTGTTTTCTCAATAAGTGCCTCATCCTTTTATGAACATTCCCTAGTCCTGTATGAAATCAGACTGCCCATCTTGCCGTTTTCCAGAGAGAGAGAGAGCCATGTTAGTCTGTTACAACAGAATGATTCTTCTGGCATCTTAAACTTAATCAACGGAAATAAACAAATAGAATTTAAGCAGCAAATTGATTTTGGAATAAGTTTTCATAGACATTCTCCACTGTGCATTTAATAAAATATATCCATGAAAGCTTATATCAGAATAAATTAGTCTTTAAGGTGCCACAAGACAGCTTTATTTCTATTGATTCTCTGAACTTCACATTAATAGGATCAGTAGGTAATCTTTCCAGCAGTGTTCATTTGGGTAGCCCTTTAACCTAACTGTTGGTAACCCTCTGCTGCCCCATGTCACCCTTTTTTCTAATGAATTTCTCTCTCCTGATTACATTATTTTTAATTAGTCCCTGTTATTGTGACTGAAAAAAACAAATGTATGTATAATATGGCTCTTGAAGTGTTGCTGCACTTACTGCCACTCTAAAGATTGCTTCCTTTTCCCCTTTTCTGGGCTGTGACTTTCAGTGCCGCTTAGTGACACTACTGGATGACAACAGCCTGCATTTATGGATCCTGAAACAGTCCAACAGCGGTACATCTGAGCTTCAAGAGGAAAGGCATTTCACTCTCCGAGGACCCCCTGGGTAACTGAGATACTTTCTCCATAATCAGAAGCAGATTAGGAACTGCAGCCAGGCAGTGGCAACTTCATTCAACATTTGTCTTCCAGCGAATGCTAGTTTGTTCACTTTGAATAGCCTGTTCATCCCCTTTCATTTGGGGAACTGGGGTTGTCCATCCCTGATGTGGCTTTCTAAACACTACACCTTCCTGGCTTGGGGTATTTAGAGAGTTGTAGTCCAACACTTCAGAAAGAAACTCAGGGAAGGTTGGTTTGGAGGATTAGTAATGTGCTGCAGTGTTTGCTCTCCACTTTCCCCCTTCTTCCTTCCCTTGGGTGTCTTCTTCCTTGCATTGTTTGGGCAAGACATACTTTGCTGTTGCTGCTGATCCAAATAAGCTCCAGTTTGTCTTGGACAAGGGCAAGGAGGTAATCAAGGAGTAGAGGAGCTTGCCTGATGCTCCCATGGGGCGCTGCAGTGGAACAGAACTGGGTGTTTGCTATGGGAATAGTCTTCTCAGAAGTGAATTGAATGTGGTTTGTGCATTCCAGCCTTGGCAAAAGGGTGCAGCTGCTGGGATCTCTGGAAGCTTTTTGATTGCTTAAGCTGACTTGTGATCAACTTGCTGAGTGTCTACCTTTTTATTCCTTACTACATAGCATGTTTGTTTTGTCTTTAAACCAGGCTTTAACATATTCTGTTCATTTTATCTATGTCTATCTGGATGAAGTATTTGCTGCTTACTGTAAACTCATAGGATGAGCTGACAACAAGCTTTTATTCTCATTACCCTTTTTGGTATCACATTTTTTTCTCCCACTGAGATGTTTGGAATAAGAACCATATTTCAGTTTCTGGTCTTCAGTAATGATTTCTGAGGCACTTGCAAAAGAGATCATGGATTAGGTTCTTGCTTCATATGGTGATATGTAAAAGTCGATGGAGGAACTAATCTTTCTCATTTGTGGCTTATTGGAATCCCTCTCCCTCTTTGTTTACAGTTCCCCTCCAAGTGCCACACAGGTAACAGCAATCCTCGCACATTCCTCACAGGAATGTCTGTACCTGGGCACTGAGAGTGGTAATGTCTTTGTGGTGGAGCTCCCATCCTTCAGAGTGCTGGAAGATCGGACCATTAGTCCAGAGGTTGTGCTGCAACGGTAAACATAGGCACGAAAGTTATTCTAGCTAGCAAGCATTCCTAGATGTTGTGCTATGCATATAATTTTAAGCATGGAAAGGCAGGTGTTGGGTTGTGATTTACTGGTAGATCTTTGAGTAATCTCCAGTAGAACAGCAAAAGCCTCCAATTCCCAGTCACTTAACAATAGCCATTTTTTAGGTTTAATTTAGACTTTGAAATCCCTGAGCTTTTATGCTGGTGTTGACAGTGCGTGGCTCATGAGATGCAGTCGTTCATGGTCTCCACTGTCTTCTGGCTCCATTTGGTGGTCCTTCTAGTAAACTGTGCAAGATGCTGTAAGCCTGGAGTCTCCCCGCTGCAGAAATAAGGCATAGGGGTGGGTATAAATTCTGCTAGGTTCACAAGCAACCTGTTAACATGAAGCGGGCTGACTGGTGCTGCCTTCCTGGACACTAGAAAGCCAAGAGTTGTGCCCCACTGTGGCTTGGGGGCATCACTCTGGACATGATGGAGTTCGTGGTGGGGAAAACACACAAGCTCAAAATCCTTTTGTGCGTAAATATCTCCCAGATCCATTTTTTACAAATTAATTATCTAAATCAGAGGTGAGCAGCTTGTAGACCCCCATGCCCAGAGGGTCACTGCGCCCATCTTTCCTCACCGTTGCCTGTATCATTTAGGGCTGATGGGAGTTGTGGCCCTCCCTATTTTTTTGGCCTACATAATGACACAGGAGGAGTATTGATTCAGGTTAAATTGTCTCTTTCTTTCCTTACAATGAAAAAAAATTCAATTGTGGAATCCATGCATTGGCTGGAGACAGAGGAGCTCTGTAGAATGCTCACCATGTGGATGCCAGTCCTAGCTGCCCCCAGGGCTGCAGTGGGTAGTATGGTTGGGTCTTGGGGTAGTTCACCTAGAGATGCCTTAACTGGTGCCTGATGCAAAGGAGGACAGTCCCCTTGCAGAATTTTTCCAGCAGTTCCCCCTGCCATCCATTCATATTTCAGCCAATTCTTTGGCTCTCATAATAATATTAAATAACGGTGAATGCTCCTTTTCCATTTTCTTGCATTTCCTTACAGGGTACCAGAGGATTATCAAAACAGGCGGTCACTTGAATTGGTTGAAGCCTTACGGGAACATCCCCGGAACTCCAATCACATCCTGATTGGATACAGCAGGGGCCTCATTGTCCTCTGGGACTTGATAAATAGCAGAGCAACACATCATTTCCTTGGCAGTCAGGTACTAGCACATTCCCAAGGCTCTGGATCAGGGCCAAAAAAATCAGTGGTAGGGGGAATTTTGCTCTCTATGGCCTACAATTCCCACCACCCCCTGTAAGCATGGCCAGTCACTGGGGATGGTGGGAGTTGTAGTAGCTGTAGGCCATCGTCACCTGGACAGCAATATGCCCTGTTAGCCTGCATTAGAAAGTGGCACATTTATTATGGCATAAGCCTTTGTAGGCAGGCAGGTATGAAAACTGCCCACCTTTGCTTTTGTGGGAACAGGCTGGAAAGTGCCCCCGTGGCAGGGCCAAACACGAATAGCATCACCATCATCCACATGATGAATACTTTTGTCTGAACACAGATGCAAAAGCTTTGTAAGTCAATGGTCATATTAGACATTAAAGAGGCCTAGCTAAAAAGGCTGCCTTCTGAATCAAAAACTGCTCTTAGTCTGTTACTGTCCCATTACTTCCCTTACAATGTGGGAACCTGAAGCTTTTAACTACCTCCAACGGAGCCAGCTCTTCTCCTGTTAGTTCAGTAGCCTAGATTGTGGGTAAAAACATCCAGGTAAGTACTTAATCAGCTCTAGGTTTATTTATTTAAAACTTTTATATGCCGTTGCTTATGCATAGCATCTCAGGATGGCTTGTAATATTAAAATCAAAATACAATAAAACAATCCATACCAATATAATAAATAACATCTAACCAGTAAAAATAAATTAAATAATTTGAGGTTTCCAGCTCATGATACTGTAAGGATTTCAGATAAAAGCAACCAGAAATAAAGAGGGTACACTTAAAAATAAAACAGCAACATGTTCTAAGAGTTCTTGATTGGGCATTTCTTCCAAATGAGCCCAAACAATTCTGTGGTTATCTTGGTTACTGTTTTCTCCATAGCAACTGGAAAACCTCTTCTGGCAAAGGAATGGCCATCAGATCATCAGCTGCCATTATGATGGAAGTTACACCCAGTGGCCTGTTTCCAGTGATGACAGGCAGCCTTCGCCTCTGGAAAGCAAAGTGCCTTATGGTCAGTGTATGGGCAGCTGGGAATGCCCACCTTCCCTATCATACTTGGCTGGGCATGTTTTCCAACTGTGTCAGTACCACCTGTGGTCCCACCAAGCTGAACAAATCCCACTAGCTATATGTGGTACACCATTAGGGGCTCAAACATCTGGAGCCCCTGCCCAGTTGCTGAGCATTGGGCGTGCTACAGTAGATGGCAACAGTTTCCATGGGCCCTGACCACTGGTCATGGTGACTGGGGCTGGTGGGGGGTGTAGTACCAAACATCTGAAACACACAAGGCTGGAGAAGATCTAGAATCTGATGCTCATTTAGATATTGATACTGTCAGACAGAGCGGTCCCTTGGAAGGTGCCACCCAGTGATGCTGCTTGTGGTCCTCTGGCCTTGGGAGCTGCAGTATCTGGGAATCTGTTGGGCATCTTTTAATGTAAGAATGTAATGCAAGTAACATAGGACCATGCCTCTAGCCTTCTGGTCGGAAGGCCTCCTTGAGAAGGCAGCTTCTGAACTGTATATTGACAATGCTTCTAATTGCAATGTCTGTGTGGTTAGTGCTTTAAAGTCATCTTAATATACAAGCTAAGTAATGAGTACTTTCTCTTGCATATGGAGAAAGGGGTATTTTATTTCTCTCTGTCAGGTTTATTGCCAACACCCAGTGTTGTATGCATTTTCCACTAAAAATTGTGTTTAAAATCGGGTATTGTCTCTATAAATCTGCCCTTCTAGGTCCTTTTCCTTGCAAGGCCATCTCCAAGATTTATTGGCAAACAACAAAGACTGGGTAGGTACTTTGGCAGAAAATACAATGCTGTCTTTTCTCTTAAGGTTCTAGAATGACCTTGAAGTAACAAGAGCTGCTACTTGCTAGGAATCTGCAGTCAGCTGAGATGTCACCAGAAGTCCCTTGTCTGTTTATACTCTGAGCTTTATGAGGCTGTTTAACCAAACACTGGGGGTGGGGGGGAGGTGGATAGAAATTGCCACCTTTCTTTTAATCCATTTTAGAAATGCTATGGTCACACTTTTCATTATAGGATTATATCTTATCTTTTGCCACAAGCACCTCCCATGCTGACTTATAAGTCCTAAAAACAGCATAATTCCATATAAAAACTAAATATCTCTTTTAAAAATACCAAGTAAAACAGCAAGTACAACAAAGTAACACACCAGCTAAAAACCCAAATAAAGGGTCATACAGCTTGGAAGTTTCTCTCTCTGATAGGAAGTAGGAAGGGGTGTGTGGTGAATGGCCCTTAATTATCATAATTGATGGGAAGATTCATCTTTAAGTGCAGTCATCCTAGCTATTTATGGTTCCTTCCCAACTAAGACTTTTAGAGATTCTAAATATTCAGCTGTTTGTTTTCCAAAGAAAAAATCATTCTGTCTCTGGAATGCTGTCCTACAGCAAGGTATTTTCCAGTGAAAGAAGGTGCTGGATAGAGCAGTCCTACATATGTTGGATAACCAAATAGGACACAAGATCTGCAAAAGAAAGCATTCATTGCATCTGATGGCCTGCTGGCTCATAGTGATAAGGCTGGAAGGGGGTGCAGGTTTGCCAGTTCTTGAACTGGTGCTCCTAAAACTTTTATCTCAGTGAAACCAATGGGGCAGAATTAACTATGCCAGCTCTAAGCCAGTGTACTTATGAGGTCTGATTGTATGGGATGTCGGGAACAAGAGGTTGAGGGTTCTGCAGATCCACAGCCTCCCCCAGAATGCCCCATTCTGGGCCCCACCGCCGGCAGAGCACCCTGAGCCAGCCAGCTGCAGTGGTGGCCCTTTCAACCATTGCTCCAGGTAGGCTTCAGCCCATGCAAAGGCACAGTCCCCCCATCCTCCAGTGCTCAGTAGTAGAATTATTCTGTTACTCTTCCCTTTTGTTCTTTCTTTAAGGCTCCCTTACATTATATTTCAAGGAGGGATGCCCCGGGCAAGCTATGGTGACCGGCATAGCATTTCAGTTATTCATGGCAATCAGCAAACTGCCTTTGACTTCACATCGCGTGTGATAGACTTCTTTGTCATTGCCACTGCTGACCCATTTGCAGGTATGGTAGAAGGCTTTTTTTTCTTAGTTACCGGGATACACTTTGGGGCCATAGAGTTTGGTTTCTGCTGATGCTAAGTGCATCAATGAAATGCCACATGTATAAATTATTATTCCCCAGTTTCGGGTGATCATTGTGGAATGCTCATGTTTGTATGCTGGTTAAGTGTTCATAGACTTAACTCCAGGTCACAATCTTGCATTCATCAGGTTCAGTGTTTGGGGCTGAAAGTGTCAACTCATAGAAGGTGAATAGCAATGTTACCTGGATAGCAACTTAAAGCTCCCTTTGAAGCAGGACTTTCCCTCCTGGAGAAGTGCTGGAGTCTCTCCACAACTTGCATGAGTGATGCTGCCCTTAACTCCTGTCTGGAACATTTACTCTCATAAGCAAATAGCCATTAGGAAGAAGGAAATCCACCTTGTGTGTATTGCATTGTGCGTGTTAGCTCTTGTGTGCTGGTGAAACGGACTGTAAACATGAAAAGGCCAGAATATCTCTTCTGCAAGACAGCTTGAATATTTGCAAACGGGCGTGTTTTATTTTTAGTTTGCGCCAGGCAGCTTCACATAAAGCCCTGAGCCGTTCTTTATCTCATTCCTTCCCTGTTTTGTCTTCAGCCGCCACCAGACAAGAAAGAGCAGTGAACTGCGTGCTGCATTCCTGGGCACACGAGTGCTGGGCAGGGGGGTGGGGTAGAGGGAGAGATCTGCAGAAGGACTACCAAGGGAGGCCATGCAAGTTGAGTTCCCGGAGCCCTAGCAGTTTTCCTTAAGCTGGTTGGTTGCCAGTCCTGGCCATCCTTACCACAGCACATGCAGGAGCCGAAGGAGGAAGCTGCAGCTGCTGTGCGCTTCATCCAGGAAGTTGTTCAGTAATCATCTGAGGTTTCTGTGGCAGGCCAGCTTCCCTCTAACTGCCTGCCTTAAACCTAATGGGAATCTGCCTCAGCTCACCTCAGCTGCTCCTGGGTTTGCTCAGCAGAGTGTGTGAGTGGGTCACCATACCAAATCCACTTAGGTTAACGAGCATGCTTATGCAATTGCACGTCAAGTTTTAGCAAGCTGCTCCTCCATTTATGAAATGTATGTGCTCTGATCACTAGGGGTTGCTTTTTCAAATGCATCCTGTGATTGAGGATCAAATCAAAAAGTACTTTGTCTGTATTGCTGCTCCCCGCACTTTCCCCTCTCAGTTGCAAGTCATCTGTTTTCCCCTTTGTCAGTTCAGAAGAAAAGCAGCCCTGTCTTGCACATGCGCCGCCTTCATGATCGATGCAGTATGCGTGTGTGTTGGACTCTGGTATCTGCCTGAGTGTACCATGTACCAGTAGAAGTGGCCCTTGCAGGCCACTCAATAGTCCCACTTGATAATCTCTGAAGAAAAACAGCTGCGGCTAACAGTGTTCAGCAAAGATTGCTTTGCTAGGAAGATCAGCTGGCAAAATACTAGCTGTTGTTTTCCAAATGACGGAGGTGTTCGAAATACTTTGCCTTCAGTGTAAGGTGGCATATAAGCGGTCCTGGTGCAAGTTCTCCCTCTGACTGAGATGAACGAGTGCATTCTTTACATTCACCCAATTAAAAAGAAGCCACCGCTCTATCCTATGCATGCTTATCCAAAAGGAAGGTAAACTAAAGTAACTACATGTTGCATTAACTGTATTACATGCAGTTATCCCTTCTTTTCTTTCCTCTTCGTATAAATTAAGTGTGCAGAGCCTTGAACAGGATGAGGACCACCACACACACAGGGAGGTTTAGCGCTCTCCTCACCTCCTCCACAGTTGCATTCTTTCTGAAATTAACTTCCCGCTTCAAGAGGTTAAAAGAAGTACTGCTCCTTTGGCAGCAGCGTTTGAACAGCATGCACTAAATTGATGCAGACGGTTGCTTGTGCAACGGCCTGTATCCATTTTAAATTACTGCAATGCAAAAGCAAAATGAAGTCAAACTGCATTATGATCTTATCAACAGGTGTATGTGTAGGAAGAACCACCTGTTGCCAAGTTCAGTTATATTCGAACGCCCACCAGATAACATGTGATGCTGTAACAAATCTGCATTTGCTTTTCTGAAGAAAAGCAACGATGAGTTCCCACAGAAGCATTTTCCAAGTTGTAATTAAATTCTTCTTGTTCTCAAACAGATCAACTGTTCTCAGAACCAGCAATGCTGCTGTACTTTAAGCGGCTTAGTTCGTAGGTCTGCCCTCAGTTGGTACAAATGGTCTAACACAGAACTAACTGGGTCATTGTTGAGCATGCACAGTGCTATCTGTTCCAGGGCTGCAGGTGAAAGCCACCTCGGTCGTTTCATTTGCCTGGAATAATAGATCTCCTGGTCATTTCATGTGACATATTTGCTGCACTAATACTCTTGCATAAAGCATGTAAGCAGTCATCTATTCAGTGTGCTTACTGGTTCCTCCCCACAAACACTTGAACAGAAGCAAAATGAAATTTAAGCACTGTGCTTTACAGAGTTGCGGTTGTTGTTTTTTAAAGGATTTATACCTTGTCCTCTGACAGATCCCCAGGGCAGTTAAGAAAAAGTTAATTATATTCAGACAAAAGCATTAAAAACCCACACTATCAAAGAACAGTGTGATGTGTAAATACAGCAGCAATAAAAACAAACACAGGCTTAATATAAAACAATGCACCAAGGACTAAAGAATCTGGAGGGGGGGCATCAAAGTAGCCATCAGATGAGCCTTCCTGAGCCCAAAGGAGGCACACTCCCTTGGGAGATCTGATGTATGGGCAAATAGGTAGAAACAAGTAGCCCTGACCCAAGGTATGAAGGGTTTAAAGGTCAAAAACAGCACTTCATTAACCCAGAAACAAACTAGGATCCAGTGCAGTTGGCCAAGCACAGATGTTCCGATGCTGCTGCCTCCGCCACCGCCACCTACTTCCACTGAGCTGTTTTGCAGCTGTAATTTGGCCTGATTTTGGAATAATCACAATTTCCAGACTGCCTTGAAAAGCAACACCAGGTGTAAAGTATTGCAGCAGATTCTAAACTGGAGGGTACCAGGGCATGGATCACTGAAGCCAGCCCATCACTGTCCAAGTGACGGGCACACTTGCTCAGATCGCTAGAAGGTGCTCTGTGCTCAGCTGTTTATTAAGAGTGTCCGGGGTGTGACACTACAGCCCACTGTGGGTTATTTAAGCTACTGTTATGCTGTGGAGTACAAGCAGCCACAATTTTCAGGTGTTGCCCTGTTGCGATAACCTGGCATGCAAAGGTAAAGCCACCCTGAATAACCTGTGGTCTGTTTCAGCATTATGCAAGCATCGTTTAAGCCTCACAGAGCACACATTTGCCAGGTTCTCAAGATATGACAAGTTTGGAGCTGGGGTTGGATACATGATGTGGTGCCTTTGGATGCCACAGCTTGCTGTCCATACCCAGTCTCACTGTCCTGCCTTTCTGTGTAAAGAAGAAGAATAGCCAAGGATATTTTTGCAGCCAGCCAGACATGAGTTTAAATCTGAATCTAACATCCACTCCCTCCTTCATATTTAGAATAGATGTGGGGGCCTGCTTTGAATCCTGAAAGCCACTGCTGGACTGGGACTGAGGCAACCCATATTCTGCTCCCCACCTGGCCATGAAACTCACTGTGGGTGACTTTGACTCAGTTGCTCACTCTCAGGGTGGTTATGAGAGTAAAATGCAGAGGGAGCTGCCTTCAGATTCTGGCAAGAGGAAAGAAAATGGGACGTGAATGGACAAATGAATACATGCCCTCCACTCATGCTCAGGCCCTGATCCAGATGCACATCCTCTGTACCAACTTTAGAGTAAAAGTGAAAATGGACATAGCTGCTAAATAGGAATTTAAAATATGGCATTTTAGGTCCTTTATGCACACTTGTTTGAGCAGTAGAAAACTATTGTGTATGACTGTTAGCCATGATGGCTGGGAATGATGGGAGTTGTAGTAAAACATCTGGAGTGCATTGGATTGGAGAAGACTGGTGGATTTGTCATCACTGTCCTCTAACGCAATGAGGTGTGCAGTGCTTCTGTGATGGGCTGGTCTGACCTACTGAATCCTGAGCACCTGCTGAATGCCCAGGCTAAGTAAATCTTGCCACTCGTACCCCATCTATCACTTTGTTTCTACTGACTCCTCTTCCTGCAGAGTTCGATGACCCGTCTGCTCTGGTCGTGTTAGCAGAGGAAGAGCTGGTAGTCATAGACCTCGTGTCTCCAGGCTGGCCGTCCATCCAACCTCCGTACCTTGCATCTCTCCACTGCTCGGCCATCACGTGCTCCCATCACGTCTCAAACATCCCTCTAAAGCTGTGGGAAAGGATCATCAGTGCTGGGAGCAAGCAGAACTCCCAGTTCTCTAAAATGGTACGGCTTGTGTGCACTTGTAGAGCAGGACTACTCTGAGGTGAACGTACGATGAGGGGTTTGTTTTCCAGATCTAATACTAGACCTTGAGCTGCAGCAGAAAACATTGGAGGTAGAGGGCACCTCTGCTTTTACAAGCTTGAGAAAGCAAAGCACTACTATGCAGTTCCAACACCAAAATCTTGAGTTCCATCTTAAGAACTTGCATATAATTACATCCTTACTAGAGAATCAATAGGAAAATAAGGAACTCTGTGAAACCTATGCAAATAACTCTGCTACAGTGTTAAAGCCCCTTCTTTGCATATGTTCAGATAACATGGAAAGCAAACTTCTGAAGCCTTTGACACAATGTGGTTTAGGAAGTAGCTACTAGGGAGCTGTGAAGGCTGGCTTGAGATACAGTCACTTATCTGCCACTCCTCTTCTGTCTCCAATCTCTGCCTCCAATCTCTGTCCTTTAGCTTTCACATGTCTTACTCTTTTCCAGTACTCTCCTTTTTCCTTAGACAAACAAAATCATGCAGCGACAATGCCTCTTGCTCAGTTATGCAAATAACATTGCAATATAAGCAGAGCAATCTTATTTTAATCGGAGTATGTATAAGAAGAGGCTGTAGCTCAGTGGTTGAGCACCTGCTCTGCAGTCAGATGGTCCCTGGGTCAGTCCCTCACATCTCCAGGCAGGATGAAGAAGGGTTCCTGCCCGCAGTGGTGGAAAGCCACTGTCACTGGGTAGGTCCACATGGCACACGGTCCCACACAGTCCCAGTCTGAAAAGATTTGTGAAGGATGGCCGTGAGGATCAGCCCCTGCATCACTGCTGTGTGCCCATTTCCTTAATGCCCATGGTAGAAATGCTGCCCCGTCATCACTGTGTTTTAGTCACGTGGGAAAGGCCTAAATGCCTGTAGAGATGCATGCGCATAGAGCTCCTGTACCTGGGGCAGCCAGGTTGGGCCAGAGTCCCTCCTCACAAGTGAGAGCTTTTTGGGCATGCATCGTATCAAGTGGTGTAGTGGACCCAGGGCTTGGAGAACTTTTAGTATTAACGGGGATTCTGACACCATTTGCCCTTTGGTCCCTGTGCCAGAATCCTCTGCTGTCCCTGAACTTAGCTGCACTTCTCACAGTGGCTTGTGGGGAAATGGGCTTGCCCAGCGACAGTGTCGTGTGAGCTCTCCCTGTGGTGATGCAAAGCATGCTGGCTTGGTCTTGCATGATCCATTGGCTTTATGGAGGACCAGCTCCAGGGGCAGATGAAAATGGCTAGAAATAGTTGGTTGATATGGACTGACACAGCTGCCTGCAATTTTGGGCATCTCTGGGAGGCATGGTTATGGGGACCGTTATGCACTTCTCAAATGTGCCATCACATGCCCTTTCTCATCTGGGCTACCCAGTGCAGGCTCATGATCTCCCTCATGTGCTCTTCTCTTACTTCTCTTCGTGTGAGCTGGGCAGTGTTGGAAATGGAAAATGGTTCCCCTCTCTGCCCACCCTTTGCTTTGGGCACACTCCCTGCCACTTTCCCACATGGGGTTGTTGCCCCCCCCCCCCGCCTTGGTCTAATACTGGATGGACCAATCCATCTGAGTTAGTATAAGTTGGCATTTCCTCAAACGAATATGGATTTCTGGATCCTTTGCTTGCAGTGGGCTCTGACTTGGCACAACTGCATGGCTCTGCATGAGTATCTTAGAAGCCAAAGGGCATATTCTTGCATATGGTGGAGAGGGTGGGAGGTCTGTCTTCAGGAGATCTGACGCCGAAAATACTTTTCAACCTGGCCAGTTCACAATAAACATGGGCCCAGTTTGAAAACACTCAAAACACCAGGGCTTGCAAATACACTGAGCTTTCTGCTGCGGCTGCTGCTAATATAGGAAATGTAGGTTAATGATTCTCTCTAACCTTATATTAAACTTTAGCAAAAAGGAATTGGCTAGTAAAACCGTAACAGCCATTGTCTAATCTTAAGCCAAATAAAGCCTACTTTGTGTTTATTTGGACTTTAATACTTCCATGTTTCCTCTCTTCTCTCCCCTCCCCCAATCCGTTGTATATATACATACAGTCAATGCATTCTTACTGCAATTTTATTTTTCCTAGCCATGGCCAATTAATGGAGGCACCAGCAAAGCTCCAGATCCACCCCAGCGGGACTTGCTGCTTACCGGGTAGGTGGAAGCCAGTGTGGTGTAGTGGTAAGAGCATGGGACTGGGACTCAGAGGATCTGGGTTCTAGTCCCCACTCGGCCATGGAGCCAACTGGGTGACTTTGGACCAGTCACAGACTCTCAGCCCAACCTACCTCACAGGGTTGTTGTGGGGATAAGATGGAGGAGGAGAATGATGTAAGCTGCCTTGAGTCATTTGAGGAAAAAGGCAGGATATAAATCGAAAAATAAAATAAAAAAAGCACACAAATCCTCCCTCAGGTTTATGACGGTGGAGGCTCTTTGCCAGATTTCATAAAACAAAGTGCAGCGTGCAGACTAATCCCTGTAAAGTGGCTGGGTGCTGCAAAGTGGCTGTGACATGGGAACAGAGCTCTCTGGATTCAAGCAAGCAGCCAGGACTTCAGGTGCCTCAAATGCAGCTGCATGACATTGTTTGTCAGTATAGCACCCCAGCATACAAGCTGATTGCAGCTTAAACTAGGCTAGGGGAAGGCAACTTGAGCTTGGCTTAGCGCTCCCATAAACCCCAGCTAAGATGGCTAGTGGTCCAGGCTTCTAGTAACTGTGGTCCAAATTGTCTGGAGGGCACCAGGTTGCTTTGCCTTCCTCTGTTTTACAATAATAACTAACTGCTAAGAAACCGGATACAGAAGAAAAACTTCAGAATCCTCTCCAGTGCCAGTTGTTGTGAAGAAGAAATTGTTGCCAACTGCTGACCTTCCCGAATATCCATCAAAAATTTAACATGCCCCCTTAAGCACCAATATTAAGAATTACAGGCCTTGACTAAATTAACAGGGAAGGTTTTCTTACCTGGAAAGCAAGCAGTGACTTTTCTGCCCCTTCATTCCTTCTTTCCTCGTCAGGCATGAGGACGGCACAGTGCGGTTCTGGAACGCTTCTGGGGTGTGTCTGAACCTTCTGTACAAGCTGAGCACAGTGAAGGTGTTCCTCACAGATGCCGATCCCAACGATAACATGAACCAGATGGGAGAGGATGAGTGGCCTCCGCTGCGCAAGGTGAAGTGGCCCCCACTCAAGCCGCCTAAGCAGAGGCCTGCAGTTGCCCTTTATAGCTGCAGAGCAGCTGAACATTGCAGCTGTGCACCTTGCACCATACTTTGTGTCTGCTAGATCTTTACTTTTTGCCTCCCTGTGCTGCTAGGTTGGCTCCTTTGACCCTTACAGCGATGACCCCAGACTTGGGATCCAGAAGATCTTCCTGTGCAAATACAGTGGCTACTTGGCGGTAGCAGGAACAGCAGGGCAGGTACTGAAATGCACCAAAAATATTTGTTCTACATGCTCTGAACCAGCAGCACTGATGCTTTTGTCACCTGCGTTGCACAGATGTGACTATAGCATCAGTTCCTGTAATTAGAGGTACACTCTCTTGAACTTGCCTAGAAGCTATGTTCTCTGATCTGGAATAACTTTGCAACAATCCTAGCAGTTTGAGGGGTGTGGAAGTAGGAAGCTTTGTGTAAGTACTCAGACACTGTTACGGGCTTAAAAACCTCTTAGGACAATATTTTTGTAAGTTCATGTTGAATTTCCAATGAGTGGTCAAGTGAGGAGTCACTGCCACACATTGATCTGGTTTCTATCTCATAGCAGCAATTCTTAAGGTTTTTAATTCATGGGCAATAGTTGGGCTAACTCTGGGTTATTTAACCCACAAACAAACCAGGGAACCCAGGTTTTGGGGTCACAAAACAATCCAGGAACGGGGTGTTGGTGAGTTGTTAATGGAAATCAGAAAAGGCTCCTGTGGTCAGCTCATCACTACAGTTGCTGCATACAACTAAGGTATTGCCGTCATGAAGTGTGAGTCATCAACTTGTGTACCAAACAACAACTCTCTCTTGATCATGCCTTACCCATTAGTGCATGTTCAGGTAACATGACAACCCACCATGGGTGATCAGCTGTGGTGACTTGTCGTGTTATCTGAACCCTGTGCTGTCTCATCTCTCAGCAGGCTGGTTCTTCTTTCTCAAACAGCCCTGAGAAGCCACAGCTTGTATTAGGGTACTTTGTAACCAGGGCAGTCGTGTAGTGTGAACTGAGCAGGGCGATGCCATCATGAGTTGTTGAAAAGGGCTAAAAAATTGCTCAGTAAGAGCAGCCAAATGACATTCTGCTCCTCACAAGCCATCTTGGTTCCTGGAGTTTGCCTCGCAGCATCTGTCCTCCCATGGCATTTTCCTCTCCTCACCCACTGTGCCTTCGATGCTGCACTTGCCACTTCCCTTGGCAACCACTTATGCTTAATATGCCCAGTGACCTTGGAGGAGCCTGCAGTTCTGCCTAGCCTAGTTTTGTCTTTGCTTTCCCACACCTGCAGCAAGGTTTCTGAAAAGCTCCTGGGGAAGTAACCGCTAATTTTTTAAAACTGAACTACTGTAGGCTGTACTTTCATCTTGTACAATCCATTAACGTGGTAGTGTGCAGCATTTCATCATGCAGCAGATCTGTGCCAAGTTTAATTCCCTCCCTTTTATGAAGCATACCCACTGTTGTGTGCCTGTTGCTCTAGTTAACAGAGCCCAGACGTGATCCTTCAACGTGAGTGGCCCCGGCTGTGCATGGGAACCTGTGGCCTGCCATCTGTCCCCCAGGCTGGGAACAGAGAAACCCAGAACCAGCATGGCGTTGCTGTCACAGACACTGTAACAGACATAGCTGGACCACCGTTGCCCGATGCAGGGCACTTCGCACCACAGCTCACAGCAGTTCCCACTCCACAGGCTGGCACTGAGTCCTGGTCTCCACCATTCTCTCTCATTCCAGATCCTTTGACACAAGCATTGCAAGAGTGGGCTCACAATGCATTTGGGGCCCTGGCTGAGGTGAAGGGAGCCCCACACCATCAGAGTTCAGGATAATTTCTGGAGTGAGACCACACTTGGCAGATTCATAGGTCTTTCAGGAACCTCTCAAGCACAGGAATATCTGCAGAGAGCACCAGACACAATTCTCTTTCCCCTTGCTCTTCTGAGGCGTCACACGTTCTCCCATGCAGGGCAAGGAAAAACGTGTGAAGAAAATGTTCAGGGAAATCTCAACTGTAAACAAATGCTGTGAATGCCCAGAGCATTCTGTAGTCCTGCACCCAAAGGCCTGCTGACATAGCAAGGGAACAAAGGATTGTAGGATGGGAGTTTTGCTGCAGAGGCCCGTGGGATGCATTCTAGTAGCTGGTGGTAGAAGTTGAATTGGAAACAAATCACAGCAAGCCTAGCAGAGGCCAATCATCTGTCCACGCCATTGTGCGTTGTTCAGTGAAGAGCCAGTTCACCATGGCTAGTTGCCAAGGTGGCTTAGTCGGACATGCGAAGCTGCCCAGTGTTAAGTTCCCCTCATTTATGTTGTATCCTATATCCTGATGCAGCTGCCAGCTATGTAGCCACTCTCCGGAGAAGCCTGTCTTTGACTGTTTCTGCGCTCAGAATTACTTGTGCTGTTTTATCCGGCTGGATCCTGTTGCTAATAGCAAATCCATGGCTAAGAGCCCAGTGCCATGTCTGTATAAGAGCATGAGTTGGAAGAATGCTGTGTTTAGCTGGAAGTAGGCCAGCCTCCCTGAACCTGGGGTCCTCCAGATGCACTGGGCTGCAGTTTCCACCCTACCCAGCAAGCAGACTACATCTCAGGGGTGCCAGTTTCAGGAAGGCTGTACTCTGTGGGCACTGTGCAAAATCATGAGTTTGCTTCCAGCCTTCTTTTTTTTTTTTTTTTTGCTCCTGCCCTCTATACTTCCCATTCAGAAAGCACCAGGAAGAATCCATGGCTTCAGATTACTGACTTGGGCTAGGATACCTTTTTCAGAGACAGACTAGTCTAGTAGATCTGAACAGTCTCTGCTGCCACAGCTCACATTTTCCTGTTGCATTGACCAGAGAGGACCAGTGCATGCCCATGGCTGAATATACTTGGTCTGTGGTTTCTGTTTATCAAATAATCAGGGAGGGAAGCTCAGCTATGACAACAGGAAAAGATTGTGTAGGCATGTTACGTTGGAAACCCAGGGTCTATTTTGAAAGAGGTTCAGGTGATAAATTTGTCCTTGGACTGTTTGTGATGCGTCTCCTCTGCATCTCACTGAGCTGTATCAGGTCCTCTGAGTGAGTGAGTGAGTGAGTGAGTGAGTGAGTGAGTGAGTGCACACACATACATGCATACAGAAGCTTTTTAGTGTCTGTGATGGGGTTTGTCTAAAACATGCGTTTCAATGTAGATTCCCACTGGACTTGTGGGTATAAAGCTGAAGCTACTTTTCCAAAAAGTTATTGTATAGTCATGGAGCCAGTCGCCTCCTTGTGGGCTCATGCTGGATTATCCCAATAGCTGCCACAAACAAGCAGTTACTGCCATAGCATACGGAACGTACAAAGCTGCCTTCAGACCATTGGTCCATTTAGCTCCCCCAGTTTTTCAGGGTTTCAAGCAGGAGCTTTTCTCAGGGCAGGAGCTTTTCTCACTGTTTGACTTCCCTTTGAAAAGTTACAATGACTGAGTATAGATGCCCATTTACCCAAATGGGCATTTCACTATGGTATTCATTGAACTGCTTGGTAAGCTGGCTGTCCACAATATCTTGCTTAAATGGTAACAAGAAGCTTGTAAATGTTGGCAGCTAGATCAGGGCAAAAAGAAAAGCAGCAGAGTGATAGATGTGTCCCTGTTGCAGTCGGGCAAAAGCATTAGATTGCTGGCTTTTGAAGTACATGCATAGCATTGTTCTTAACAGCAGCCCTGCTTTATGTAGTCTGGTTGTGGGTTTTTTGTTTTTATTGCTTATACGATAGTTTTATTGATTCTATAAATTGTTTTGTTGACAGTTATCCTAAAAAGTGGAGTGTACCTAAATAAAAGCCTGGTATAATTGTGATAATGTCAAAGTATGCTATGATACCCATTCACTAAAAAGCTCTCTGGATTATATAAAAACATACATTGCCAATGAGCTTGTGCCCTACCTTTGTTTGCCCTTTTGCTTTGAAAGGATTTTGCACCAGAGAAAGAAAAATGTTAAGATTCTGACCAGAAGAAGTGTATTTCACAGCTAGAATTCCCTCCTCACAAAGTAAACTAGGGGGAAAATGAGAAATTCGCTAGAATGCAGCTTCCTGGAGCTTTTGTAGCAAAGCCTCAGAGAAGGAAGCACATTTGCCCTGGGACTGGGTGGTGTTTGCAATGGTGAGATTTCAAGCACACTCCTGAACGAATTCCGCTCTTCACTCCCAATCCCTCAGGTACTTGTAATGGAGCTCAATGATGAGGGAGCAGAGCACGTGGTTGACCGTGCGGAAGCAGACCTCCTCCAGGACCAGGAAGGCTACAAGTGGAAGGGTCACGAACGGCTGAAAACCAGAGATGGGCCTGTTCAATTTGAACCTGGATTCCAGCCTTTTGTCTTGATCCAGTGTCAGCCGCCGGCTGTAGTCACTTCACTGGCTCTTCACTCGGAATGGAAGCTTGTGGCCTTTGGGACAAGCCATGGCTTCGGGCTCTTTGATCATCAGCAGAAGCGGCTGGTCTTTGTCAAGTAAGCTACTACCAAGTCTGGGGGAATTGAAATAAAGCCTGTGCTGTGATAGTCAGGAATAGTTATGTGTGTTTTAAACAGGACTTTCTTGCCCAACTGGTGTGGCACCATGATAAAGAGCTCAAGCAATGGGCTGGAAAACTTGAGATCAGGTCAGCCAGGGAATTACTTAGGGAAATCATTAGCCCTTGGCTGATCTGTATCTGCAGTATCCTGAACATCTGAATAATGACAGAGGACTGAAGCAGGTCCCTGCGATTGCATGTGGATCCCCAAAGCGTTCAGCGAAATCCCGTTTTGAGGAGGGACTGCTATTGTTTCCCTTAACCCTGCCAAGTAGCTTAGATGCAGCACATGAGCTAGCCTAGCCCCGCCCCAAGGACGATGAGTGAGCTGTGTTTCCTGAGCACAGCTTAGCCAGCACAATTAGGTTCAGATACACACACAGCCTGGATATCCCAAGTCCTCTCACCCCCCCTCTGGTTGCATTGCGGGCAAAGCTCCCAAAGTGCTCAGTATGAGTGGGGAGGCCCCCCCCCCATGATTATTGAAAGCAAAATATACATCTGTAAAGATGGTCCTGATGTGTCCTACAGGGAGGGAAGGGTCACCAAGATCGTGCAGGTGAAGTACTCCATGAAAAGGAAATGGTCATGTAATCTTTTTGTAATGTAAAGACAGGACAGTGTGAAAGTTTGTGTATCACACTGTTTTCAGAAAACTCAAGCATTTGCTTCTAGCCCTCCTGACTGCAGAGGAACTCTAAATTGAGCTTACTCTCTCAAGGACTTTGACAAGGCTTCCAATAATGTGCCAAAACGTTAATGATGGTTAAGATTCCACAAAAAGCAATAATGAACATACAAAGTGTGTCGTTTAGAAGACTTCTGATTTTCAGAATGCCTCCTTCTCTGGAGAAGTGGATTTTAGAGCTCAAGCACTAGCAATGTCCTGTGTCGCTTTACATGCAATTTTGGCTCTCTGTGCAGTAAACCATAATAACTACTACTGGATTTCCAGCATCCAGCTGCCCCAAAGAGAGGTGTGATCTCGTCCTGTTGGCTTCTTCCTAGGTGTACCCTGCATCCCAGTGACCAGCTAGCCTTGGAGGGCCCTCTTTCCAGGGTGAAATCTTTAAAGAAGTCCCTCCGCCAGTCCTTCCGGCGGATGCGAAGAAGCAGGGTCTCGAACAGGAAGCGGCGAACTGCTGAGGTAAGGGCTTGTGTGGTTTCACATATTCAGTAAAGCCTTCCTTGGGTGCCAGAGAAGTCTGGGATGGCCACCTCTTCTGTCAGCTGTCCCCAGCATGGCACCCTCCAGATGTTTTGGTTGAGAACTTCCAGCATTTCTGACTTTTAGACATGCTGGCTGGAACTGATGGGAGCTGAAGCCCAAAGCGTCCAGAGGACACCTGGCTGGGGGAGGTTCTCATGCAACTTTGCTTCCTGGCCTTGCCACCTGTGGCACCTCTGCCTTGCCTGAGAAGCATGTTCAGGCTGCCAGAGACTGAGGTTGGAGCAAGGTTGTACTGGCTGCCTCAGATTAGAGGTGAGCCACAAGACTTGGCTCTTCCTGAAGAGAATGTGCAGCATTGCAACATCCTCATTGCCTTGATTGATAGGAATATAAAAAGCTGCCTTCTGCCAAGTAAGGTTTTTGGTCTGTTTCACCCAGTATTGTTGACTTTGACTGGCAGCAACTGTCCAGGGTTTCAGGCAGGCGTTTTGCCTGCGCTGCTTGAAGATCTCAAGAATTGAACCTGGGACTTGCCTGCACTTTTTATAAAGCCTCCTTACTTCTCTTGGAAGCTAACATTCACTTGAGCCAAGCAAATTAAGTCACTTTGAATGTCACATCTGAATATCCTTATCTGTTTGTTGTTCCTATTTTGTTTTGTGGGGAAGGTACAAGAGGGAATTTCCAGGCAAGATCACGATGCGTTACAGGAGATAGAACTGGCCCCCGTCCAACGAAAGATTGAAGCCCGGTCGGCAGAGGACTCCTTCACTGGTTTTGTGCGCACCTTATACTTTGCTGACACCTTCATAAGAGACAGTGAGTTAGAAGGAAATCTCCTTTTTTTGTCTTGCCAGGTGTTCCTCTGCTGAGAATGGAAAGAACGGGCCAACAAGGTGTTCCTCACTGACTCTTTCAAAACCATTTGACCTGTTCACTGTCCCTTGAGGCATAAAAATCCAACAGTGGTGCTCTTACGGGCAAATTCTGACCAAGATGCGTTATTCTTTCCGTCCTTCCCCTTGTTCTGTTTTATTGGACACTTCCATAATTTTAGTCTTCCCACTAAATGACGGCTAGAAACAAACAGATTGCTTATCTTGTTGGCAACTCTTACTGCTATGCTAACTTCAAGAATTCCTTCTGTTAAACTAAGCTTTCCCAAGACATTTGGACCACAACTCCCAGAATTCCCATCCATCCAGGGCTATTCACTCAGAATTCTGGGTGCTGCAGTCTAAATGTGTCTGGAAGGCACAAGGTTGAGGAAGACTCAATTGAAGCTCATTCACTGGGTACTGATATGGCATATTATATCCCGCGGATGAATGCAGATGTTTAGAGCCGAGCTCGGAATGATGAAACAGCTGAGTCCAGCAGGAGCATGACAGGACGCGTCTTGTTCTCCATCCCTTACCATGCTGGAAATCACACTCAGGGCCTCTGCTCTCTGTATTGCAGGTTCCCGGCACAGTCCCTCCCTGTGGGCAGGCACCAACGGGGGCACAGTCTACGCCTTCTGTCTGCGTGTTCCTCCAGTGGAAAGACGAATGGATGAGCCTGTCAGAGCAGAGCAGGGTGAGTGAACTGCACAAAGGAAGTTAGATTACAGCCAATGGTAGTCCCTAAACTTCAGGTGAAGGGTGTTTGTGCGAGACGTCCCGGTGATGAAAGGCTCAGATCCCTACCCAAGGTTCTCTCTGTCTTGATTGGCATGAAATGGCTTAGGATTGTGATAGGGAATGTGCATGTTTTAGAAGAGCAAAACCAGAAGCTATTTATTGTAGCACTCCAGCTGCTCCCTCTTCTTTACCAGGATCTGTAGTCCCTGGGTTTGTTGTTTTGGATGCTATGGCCTATTGAAGAGAATAGTTTAGCCCAGATGCTTACCTGAAAGTATTAACTAAGGCGAACCTGGTCAAATCTGTGCAGCCACTGTCAGGAATGCTGCGGATGCTTCACTGGAAGTCCTTCACCAGCCACTGTGAAACAAGCCAAAGTTCTGTTGGAAAATATTTCTCATGCGCTACAAAGACCTAGAAAATTCTCTTGGATAGATTGAGTGGGTGTTAATGAGCCAGGGGGACTGTCCAGCCAAACATCCATGACTTGAGTACATTTTCTAAAGTATTTCAGTTATACAAGTTGAATAGCTTCCCCCTAAGGGTTGTGTGCCATTCATTAATCACAGTAACTAATTTTCCTTAAACTTAACATCTTGCAATGTAAAATCCAATTGCCTTTGTTTGCAGGAAATAATTTCTCAGGTTTTCTGTACCCTCACTTCTTAATGGCATTTATCTATTAATTACCTGGGTATCCTGTCCTTCCTCCATGTTGCACAGGGCAGCACATGTGACACTGCCCACACCCCCCATGGCTGTGCAGCAACCCCGTGTAGTAGGCTAGGCTGAAAGGCAGTGGCTGGCCAAGGTTACCCAGCAAGTGTCATGGCTGCACTGGGATTTGAACCCAGGGCTCCTACACTCCTGGTCCAGAGGCCTTACCCTAACAGGCTGTCTCAGTATTTCCTCTCTGTACTTGCATAGACAGGGCTGGGATGTGCTTGGGGGGTTTAGGCTTTTTTTGGTCTAGAATTTACACCGACAGAGCTCTGCAGAGCCCAAGCGAAAGATGGCAGGCAACTATCTAGAAATCCGCTAAGCCATGCTAAAGGAGGTTGGGTGTGTTGTAGAGCCGTATGTTACCTGCTGGACCCCCACCTCTTGTCTTTTGATCTGTGCTTTATGCATTACTCTTCCTGTCTTTCCAGCCAAAGAGATCCAGCTCATGCACAGAGCTCCTGTTGTTGGGATCCTGGTTCTGGATGGCCAGAACACGCCTCTTCCAGAGCCTCTGGAAGTAGCCCATGACCTCTCGAAGAGTCCCAACATGCAAGGTAGCCATCAACTTCTCGTCGTGTCTGAAGAGCAATTTAAGGTAACAGCATTGCATGGTCTCTTTACCTATTGGAAGACAACAGCCAGAGCATTTCAGGGGATCCGTTTCCTCTTGGAGCTTCTTCCTTGAGTTGGTTCACCTTTGAGTGATCACATTATTCTTATTATCCTATTATTACATTTCTATGTCACCCCATTGCCCATAGGGCTCTCTGGGCAGCTTACAATGGAAAAAGAAAAGACATATTCCATACAAATATAACATATTCAAGCAATACAATCAAGCAATGCAATGTTTAACTGTAAGCAATGCAAAATCAAATGATATAATACATAATATAAGAATGTCAGCAATGCATCATTTCAATACATACTATATACATACTATATCATTTCAATACATACATTCAATACATAATACAATACATAGTTTCAACATTAACAGGATACAGCTATAATCCCTGCCCCCACACACAAAGCCCAATCGCCCATCAGTACAGTTAGCTAAGGAAACACAGCCGCACAGCCCCGTGTGGGTTACACCACGATATAGCAGGGTAGCCAAAGGGCCCGGTCTCTGAGGCCCAGTGTGGCCTGGCTCCCTGCTCATGGCCAGCTCCTCTTGGAATGTCTCTCCCCTCTCCACCTCCTTGATGGCACCGCCATTTCTCCCACAAACCAAGGTCAAGCTGGGGAACGTGGGGGGGGGGGGAGGACGCAGGTGCCCCCTGTGCTGGTCTGTGGCAGGGAGGAAGTGGCAGGCAAGCATGGCACCACATGTACTGGTGGCACATGACCCTGCATCTGTGCTATGATTTGTTGCTGGATTCCACTGTTACATGTGAACAGCCCTCTTCAGTTGCCGCCGAGGAATGCCTTTAGACTGAGAGAGAGCATCCAATCGATGCTCTTTTGTGGCAGGGATTCCCAGTTTCTTCTTCCCAGCTGAGCAGGTCATTGACTTACATGCATTACTGGCCCTGGGTCTGACACCCTTCCATGCCTTCAGGCTGCTCATGAGCCCTCCCTGGAAAAGGGCATGGCCAGGACAAGAAGCGTTCTAAGATCCTTACTACAAATCCAGCCCTTTCCTAACTCTGTATGGGTAGGCCAGTGTTTTCCATCCTGGCCATGTGCAAAAACCTCGTGCATGCATGTATGTATGTACATATGTATTTTTGCATTTGTATGCCACCAAACTATTTCAACAGGGATCTCTAAGTGGCTTACAACAAGTAATCAAAGTTACAAATATTAAACAATAAGAGAATAAAGCCAATCATACATAAACAATCATTGTTAAATTGTTGTTGTTTTAAAACTATATAATTTGAAAAGACAACTATATAGAACAGTATATTAAAGACAATTTGAAATCAGTTATTAAAATACCTGGAGAAATGTTTTTGCCTTTCTCCAGGTATGGCACTAAAAAGAGAGCAGTGTTGGCACCAGATGAATTTCTCTGGGGAGCCTGTGGCATAAATGGGGGGCAGCCACTGAGAAGGTCCCTCTTCTACTTGCCATCCCACTTGCCTCCTGGAGGAATGACTCTTTCAGAAGGATTTCTGGCATTGCTTGCATATCCATTCTCTGCGGTGGTGCCCCACTTATGGAATGTGCTCCCCAGAGAGGTCTGCCTGGTGCCATCGTCATTTGTTTTTCGGCGCCAGGCCAAGACCTTTTTTATTTAAATGATATTTTAATAATTGTTGATATTATTTATTGGTTTTAAAATATTTAGCCAGGATGCATCCAGATTTTATATGTATTTATTTGTATGTGTATTTATTTATGATGTTGGAAGCCGTCCCGAGGCTTATGCAAATGGGACGGCATACAAAAATTCCAAATAAATAAATAAATATCCCTGATAGGCAGCCACCTAAGCTTATCTGTCCCCACACTGCTTTCCGAAATCCCGGCTTGTTGGCTGCCAAAAAAGCAAGGGGCTGCAGCTTCCTGCCGGCAGCTAGGTGAAGCGGGCTGTCTTGGCACACCGCGGGGGGACACCCATTGGTGGGCTGAGCGGTGCTGGGGTGGCGTGGCTCTTGTGGGAACGAAAGGCAGCCATGTCCCTTGTTTCCGTTGGCAGATTTTCACGTTGCCAAAGGTCAGCTCCAAACTGAAGCTCAAGCTGACAGCTCTGGAAGGCTGTCGGGTGAGGAAGGTGGCCGTCGCCAGCTTTGCCAGCTGCAAGACTGAGCACTGTGAGAACGATCTGGCTGTTCTGACAAACCTGGGAGACATCCAGATCATCTCCCTGCCTTCGCTCAAGTTTCAAGCACGGTACTCCTGTATCCGCAAGGAGGACGTGAGCGGCATCGCATCCTGTGTGTTCACCAGATATGGGCAAGGTAACGACCGCGGTGGTGCACTGGGGGCCAAGCTCTGCTGGGTGAAGTCTTTGGAACGAGAAGTGTATGGCCTCAAATTTAGAACGTGAAGCAGGGAGTTTTGTCCTCTGTGCACAGTTCTAGGAAAGCCAGGAAGAGGAGAATGCTGCATTGTGGGAAAAGTGTTATCCACTTTGGAAATGAACTCCAATCATGCCTGGACTAGTCCCCAATACAGCAGCTATTACACTGCAAGACTCATTCTGCTTTAATATGTGCAAATTCATTTGAAAGTAGCTTTGCAGAAGATTCCCAAAAGTATATGCTTGAGGGAGTAACTTTACAACTTCCATCGGCCCTTGGCATCCACATCCATGTATCTTGATTTATCCATGCATAGGGCTCTGTTTTTACTCATCAATCCAGAAAAAGTTAGCTATGGCATGGGATTCGTTTCAAACGACCAGTCACAAGCAGTGAACGTGACATTCGAAGCTGCTCGTGCAACTCGATCCTCTGCATGTTTATTCTGAAGTTAGTCCCAGTCTGTTCCAAATAAGTGTGCAGAGTTTTGCCAGCTTGCTCTGCCAGGTGGGGGAATGTTTGTAAATGTGTTTTAGGATTCCATTTCCTGGCTACGGCTGTACACGCACAACTTGAAGTTTCTCATTTTTTCCCTGCAGGGTTCTATCTCATCTCCCCATCAGAGTTTGAGAGGTTTTCTCTTTCTGCAAAGTGGCTTGTGGAGCCGCAGTGTTTAGTCAGAGTGCCTGAAAGTGCCGGCAACAGCCACATGCATAACACATCCGGCATGGAGAAGGCTTCGAGGAAATCCAAGTATGCAGCGCTCCAGGGTTGCCAGTAAACCAGTCAAGTCTGAAAGGCCTGCCTTTGGTCGTGTCCAAATGGGTCGTCTTCATGTCGGGTCTCTCTTGCCACTCTCACTAGCCATGGGAAGGCCACAAAAAGGCAGCTTGTGTGTGTACTGGCTGGGTTTGCCTGGGGATCGCCCTGCCATCCCCCCCCCCACACCGCATACCTGCGCAACACCTGCCCCTGATGTCACCCCAGTCGGCTGCCAGGGCCCTGCCTGTCTGTCACCTTCCATTCACTGTCTTTATTAGAAGCAGAAGTCATTTCAAAACGATCACTTGCATATTGCCATTCAAACTGGTGCTGAGATTTCTGCAGATATTCAATGTAGTGTCTCAGAAACAAAGCCCTTGTTGTAAAGTACTTATGTAAATTTATTTGTGAACACCAAGTGGAATGTACCAAGGCGGCAGCAGAAGCTGAGAGCCTTAGCACAGGTTAGTTCTGATCATGCATAGAAACAATTCAGTTTTCCCTAAGGTAAGGGATAAACCTGTGTCTTTCCTGTAAATGAGGAAACAGTGACTCCCCCCCCCCTCAGCACCTTTCCCTCTGCCATGGAAGAAAAAAGATCTTTTTTTTAGCAGCAGCTGATCAGAGATAAGTGTTGTCCCTGATAAATGCTGAAAAGGGCTCCTTTTCTTGGTGCTTATCAGGGAGAAGAGCTTATCTCTTATTGGCAGGTGATCAGAGATACTTTTATGTGTGAGACAGGGCCAGGGGCATGTCCAAGGGAGGAAGCAGCTCGATTATTTAGTCCTACTTTTTTCTGAGTTTATCCTGCAGAATTAGACTCTGCTTACCTCACTTCTGAAACAATCATACAGAGGCTTGTCCTGCTTATGAGCAGACATGCTTCCTACAATAAGATGGAATTCTCAGGCCTGTCCATATCTGCCTTGAACCCCACCTGCCACTGGAATGCTCCCAGGAGCTTTTCCAGAATTGATACTTGAACCAAAAAATGTTCTCCAGGGGTGATCTATGCTTGAATCACTGGAGAAGAGGGCTGAGTGAGTGAGCGAGTGAGCGAAGCATTCAGTTTCACGGGCCTCTTCCTGCAGTTTGAAGTGGTATGAGGAGGCATGGTTTAACACCTCCGTAAGAACTGAGGCTAAGTTTCAGATGCCCACACACATTTGTATCTTAAGTGTTCTTTTAAGCAGAACTCTTCAGAATAGTGCAAAGTGAAGCAATTATATCTAACTTGCAGTGTTTCCTCTAACAGTGTTCAGCTATTTTCTTTATAGATAATAGAGATTTGTTGTGTCCTAAATAAAACTCAAGCTTGGTTCAAGCCTCGGAACTAAGTAGTAAAGTCTGACTTGCCAAGTCCAGGGTTGGAATTTTTCTGTGACTTGCCTCCTTGTGACTCTCTTTCCTATTTACAACAGCAGGGAATCGGGACAGAGCTCTGGTGATCCAGGTGGAAATGGTAAGCAAAACATGGCCACATAGAACTCAGATGCTAACACAGAGCCTTGCTGAGTAATCTAATCTAGCATCCCAGTCAGATTCCTCCAGTGGTGCAGTGCTTCAGATGCAGTTTTGAAATGCTAACTTGGGATATGACTACAAGGCTGCTAACTCCTATTGATAGGATAAGTATCTTGATATCTTGTTGGTACTTGGAACGTGAGGTGCTACCATTTTGTTTCTGGGCACAATTCAGGGATGTTGGTTGTGACCTCTAAAGTCCTCAGCAGCCTGAGACTGGGATACCTGAGGGGTGTTGTACCCTCATATGGACCTGCCAAGTGTAGGATGTTTGTTGGAGTCTCTGCTCCAAATGCCTACACTTTCTGAGGTGAGGCAGATGGGTTCCAGGCACAGATGCCTTATCTGTGAACTTCCCTTTCCCTGTTCGACAGCTGCTTTCCTGGTCTGTAAATCCTAAGTAAAAAAATGCAGATTCTCAGGCTTTTAATATAGCTTTGATGTCTTCTGATAACTTTGCTTTCTAACATTGTAGTATTGTTTAATGGCAGCCCACTAAAGAACTTCTGTTGGAGGTGTCCTCTCAGCATGCATTGCTAATGCATTGGCAGCATATTTTCAAAAACCAAATCTTTGGCATGTTGGAAAATGCTAACCACAGGGAGAAGATGAAAATACTTCAGCCATTAGCTTACTTTCCTTTTAGTTTCTGATCTTTTATGGCTTGCTGCTAGCTCTCCTTTCTAAGGACTAGCAGCTTAGAATGTAAATCTGAATTGGCATTTGTGTCATAGAAATCAAAGATAACACAGGGCAGTGGGGTGGAGAGAGAAAGTAGATGGGAAGATTGATTTGGCTCAGCTGTAGAAGTTAGCTTCAGGTTCTAATGTGGACTTCAAATACTGGCTCGTGATCTTCCTTCAGAGAAGTTAAGGGTTCTCAGAATGGTGGGTACAATGAGGAACTTGGCTTTTAAAAATGCAAACAGCTGGACCTTCAGAGCATAGTAAGCTATGTTTTGGTTTGGTTAGATGAGCTGTTCCTATTTTTGCACTACGGCTAACATTTCTCCGATTTGTCTTTCAGACGGCGTGCATGGCAGGCTGATGGAACATGCCCTGCTCAATGATGAAAGTGAGATGGAGATAATTTCCTTTGTGTGATGTTGGTGCATTCTGGGAATTCTTCTGAAACTGCTGTGACTTCTTTCTGGGCATTCATTTCTGTATCATATAAGTGAATTTCTCTTTGGAATGGTGTTTTCATTTAACTAGGGTAGAAGTTAGTGATGACCTGACTAAATAAATGGTGTTTATACAAGCTATGCATAAATGCTCACTGGCCCCCGGCAGTTAGTTGCTTTCCAATGCAATCAGTTTCCAGCAGCCCCTCATCAACTTTGATGAAAGAGGCACATAGGGTGGCCTTGAAACTTTGCTATCTCAACAGTACTTCCACATTTGCAGGAGGGAGATAAGGCAGAGTTACCTCAGCATGATTGCTTGTAAGACATTTGCCAAGTGCTTTGCAACTCAAAAGGGCCCTGAAGACCCGCATATCTGCTATTGTGTTGGTGTTTCAGTGTTGTCTTTGGCAGATCACTTTACTCAGCCATCTGTGCATGGTTCCTGGGGAAGAAATGCCCCCAAAGGAGATGCCAAGAAACTATGTAGGCATATTTTGACTACAGCCTGTGCCACAAGATTCCCCTTCTGGAGTGGCCCTACAAGCGCTATTCAAGAATTTGCTCTTGCCGTTGCAGACTAGTTGCAGATAGTGCCTCTGACCATAGGCTGGGAGCTGCCTTATGAGAACTCCCTGCTGCATCTGCCTGCCGTGGGATGCTCAGGCCACAGGCCGCACAATGCCTTCAGCTGCTCCCAATATGGCCCATGAAGCAGCTTCATGGAAACAGCCAGGGGGAAAGCCAGATTTCCCTTGACAGTGGTACTGGAGCAACCTTTCTCTAACCTCTGATTTCACCTGAGAGATCAGAGATTAGGAAACTCTTTACCTTGCTTGAGATTTCTCTCCCAGCACCAGGGAGGGGAGCCTTCCTTTTTCGCCAGTCTCTCCTAAAGGCCTGTCTTGGGTCAGGGTGAGAATGAGGCAGTGCTTTTGTGTGCAGCCCTGGCACCTCAGTCCATGCCAATTCAGCACTCAGGACTGAAAACTTTGTGCATTAAGTGATAAGTCACGATGCAGACAGTCTCGTAAGTGGGTTTATGGAGAGCCTGAGACAGCAAAGTCCTGCTCTGGTGTTTGTGCAATCAAAGGTGTCAGCTATGTGTCTAAGCTCATGGTTACACTACGGAAGGCTTTCATGCAAACCTGTAAATCTGTGAGCCCTAAATAGAGAGAGAAAATATACAACTGCTTCCTATCTTTCTCCTTAATTCAAGCTGTTTGAAGCTGCAGGCTTTTCTGCCACATCAGGACTCTTACTCAGATTCCACAGAGTATGTGGCAAAACTAAAATAATTTCCGTGAAATCAGTGTGTGTTAAGTTTGTCAGTCTTGGCAGATTAATTGTGCAATCACTGTTCGTTTTTTAGAAAAAAAAAATCTAATTGAACTAGTAACCCGATTCTCCATAAAGTGATGACCCAACATTTTAATTCATTTAGGAACAATTGTATCCAAAGCACATACCTAATATATTGGAAGGTGAACTTAATGTGACTGTTCATTAAGGATAAAATCAGTAAGCCCTAGCTGTACAAGTGGCTCAACTTTTGTCCAAACTGAGGTGCAAAGGAAGCAGAATGGATCATTAAATCACTAATATTGGAGCCTGGAGAATATCTGCACTCATGCCTCTTTTTTCCCTTCTTTTCAGGTGTGCTGAAGGAAATTCAAAGCACTCTAGAAGGTGGAAGAGGGTGAGTGCCCCACATTCAGACTGTTTCCATTGCTGTTGGGGCTCCGGGAGTGTTATTCAGGTGACAGAAGGGAGAGGTGGTACAAGGAACCTCTGAAGACAACTCCTTAGCAACTTGAAGTGTACTGAGCTTTTTCCTCTAGGTTCTAGTCTCTCATTTTAAAATTCTCTCATCTACCTGGTCCCAGCTTTGAACAGATCTTGTAGTTCTAAATGTAGACGATCTGAATTGGCAGGTTGGTGGGAGAGGAGAGGGACAGACCTTTCTGAATTCTAATTAAGGTCTTTTCAGCCAGTTTGAGAAAGATGCCTACAGTCTTAATAGTTTGGCATATATGAGATTGGTGAAAAGTTCTTCCATCAGCCAGGGGCTCTTTGGGACAAAAAGGGCATTCATAAATAAATTAATGAATGGATGAATAAAGGTGATTCATGAATATTTCAACAAACAAAACTGGAAGGATGTGCATATGTAACCAGTCCAAAATAGAAAGTCAGCTGGGGTTGAAGATGACACATGACACATCCTTTGTGTTTGTCCCCTTGTGGCACTAGAGAAGTAATTCTTTCTCAAAAGCAGCACAGCTTATTCTGACTTGGGGACTAAAGTTCCCCTGGAATATCTGGCTGTGTAAAGTATTTTAGGCTTTGGGGGAAAGAACAAAGGATTCCACAGCCAGCTAAAGAAGATAATGGTATCCCTAGGAGGGCATGATCTGTCTCATTATTTCCACATGGTGACCTGTTCATTGTCTTTGCAGGAGTTACGGTGACAGAATTTCAAGGAAAATCCAAGCAGGGCACAGGCTCAGTAATGGAGGAGGTAGGTGAGCACATTATGGCTCTAACGCAGAGGTAGGCTACTTCAGACGTTTTGGCCCACAGTTCCCATCAACGCTAGTCAGCACAGGAATTGATGAGGGAAGGTGGGGGTTGTAAGCATCACCACTGAGAGAGGCATTGCCCATCCATGCACCAAAAAATCCTCCATAGGTGCCAGACTAATTGCAATGGATAAACTACAGTTATTGTAACCCTCTTACAAAAATGCACCATGGCAAGCCTCAGGCCCATTGTGCTTCCCATTCAGCTCTACATGGAGGGAAGGCACCGGAAGCATCTGCTCTGTTTGTAACCATCTGCAGCTTCCATGCTGCATCTGAACATAAGAAAATAGTGGGTTTTGCAAATCAGAGCATTAACTAATGAAGATCTGGTCTTGATCTGATAACTGCATTTGTTGACATGTGAATTCTGTTTTGGCCTTCAAAAAGTAAAGTTGTACTCTAAAGCTCAGTGCTGGGAATCTACGTTGCTGTTTTAATGCATGCGTGTTGATTCCTGACATGATGGCGGCTAGTGTGCCCTTTTCTTGTTTTCCTCGGCCTTTGTATTCACAACGGCAAAAGAGTGCCTGGTGAAGAAGGATTTAATCCCCACTGCCCCTCCTGCACTCTCCAGTTTTCTCTTGCTAAGGCAGGTAACAGCTGGGAGACTGGCCAGAGTCCACTATATAACCAACATTACTGATGAAGCTTTCCAGCTGATCCAATGCTTTCCCCTCCACTTGCCATCCCAGGACAGGGGTTGAGATTTGATTGGAGCAGGATTTCCCCCAGCCCTCTTAAGCTCCATCCCAAGAAGCACTAATTTCTGTGAACAAAATGGGCCTGCTTTGTTTGTCTAGGATACTGAATTCTGGCATTGTGAGGCCTGTGCTGAACAACAGCATTCCCATGGCCAGTTTCTCAGCCATTCTAGCCATTTCCTTGGTGCTTAAGTTGGGAGTTATCCTGCACGCTGGGGCTGAGAACTGAGGCTCTTCTGATGAAGCTGGACTACAGTTCCCTTCAGCCTCAGGCAGCATGATCAATAGCCAGGGATGCTGGGAGCAGAGGGCCAAAGATCCCCCACCCCTGATAAAAAGTGTTCTCTCTCAGCTGCCACCAGTGAATCAGTGCAGGTACGGAGGCATCCTCAGAAATCAAAGAAAAATGGCACTCCTTGCCTCCGATTTTGTATTGACTCTTACAAGCCTACATGCATGAGACCAGAGTGGACAACTGTGAAGTCCTGGGCCCATTTTCTTCCAACCCCATTCCCAGGCACCTGCAGACTATGATCCTACTGCTGCCACCCCACAGAATGTTGTGGGGTACCAACCACATGCAAAAAAAGCAACCAATTTGCCCCTGCTTTTTGGTGAACTGCCACAGTGCACGACAGTGGTCAAAACTGAAGGGAAATGAAATTGGCCATTGTACTTTCCTGTAGCAGCTTAACTAACACCGAGTTCTGGTGGTCAAGCAAAGAGTGTGAGGGGTTCCACCAGGGATTTCAGTGGGGGGGGGGGATGCACCGGGGGTACACAGAGCCTTGTCAATCTGTTTAAACAGTCCAAAGTACCTTCGATTTGTGTAAAATAACCATTTTGTTTTCTCTTCCCAGCAGAATGATTGTGCTGTGTCCAGGTCACCGTGAGGTCTGGCATTTGGAAAGGGTGCCATAACACTACCGACTGTATAGGTCCACCATTCATGGAGGGAAGCATCCACTGAGCACAGCCTCGGATTGAATTGCAGGGCTGAGTCTTGTGTGGCCACTCACTCGCCTCCCGATCCTCCTTTTCACTGTGCCTCACCTGAAGCCCTCCACACCTGTTTTTTTCAGCCTTATCCTGAGGCTGGATTGGTTCCCTTGGCCTGTTTCCCTTTATACCTCTGGATAGGTTATTTGTGATTCTTCAAATGTTTGCACAAGTTCTTTTCTTTTAAAAATATTTCTATTGGGATGGGTTTTAAATTATAAATGTTGCTGCCTTGGGAACAGAGTTTTTTTTTTTAAAAAATACTGTTACCTTTGAGTAAAATTATTTTTTGTACATTTTTAAAAATCATACTGGTGTTTAATAGAGAGATATTTTAGAAGCGTGCTTTTTTAAAAAATCTTGAATGAAATAATATATGTCACTTTAGATCCCTGTGGCTGCTGTAAACTCTTTTTCAGTGCCGAAACTGCAAGGTTTTGTTTTGTAATTGTACTGTGATTTCGCAGACTTGAGTAGAATCTTATTTTTGTAGCTGTACAAATCAGGGGAAATTGATTCAATTTAACTTGATTTGTGTGTGGACACTACACTGATTTGTCTTAAAATAAACCAATACCATTACCTACTTCTTATTGTAGCCAAGCAGCTTTCTGTTACTTTGCCCTGTTTTTACATCCTCTTGCAGCCTTATAGCTGCAAAAGGGAGTATGGCCCTCTTTGCTTATTCCTTATATGCTGGGGGTTCCCATATGCTGCAGGGTAAAATGACCAACACAATCTCTTCCTTTTCTTTTGAATCCTAATCTAACAGATTGTATTCCAAGTTCTGTCTATGACATCAACAACAGCATAACACCCACAGTGGGAGGGATGGGACTGGACAGTCTGAGTTTTGAAGAAAATCTAAATTTGAACAGCTCAGCTGTATACACTTTCCCATTTTCCCTTGCAAACTCAAGTTTTGGGGAAAGGGGTCCATCCCACTGAATGGAACCCCACCAGGACACAGAATCAATCCTGTATGCATACTGAAAAGGGTGAGAAGAGAAACTGGACATTGCTAAAACTGGCTCACAAAATCTTGGCTTCTGGTTGTTTTCATCTCCTGGCAAGGCTTAGCCAGTAGCCCATAAGCCTCAGGAAAAGTTACATGGGTGCTTTGGTACATTTTGTTTAAACAGGTACCCTACTGATAAGGAACATCTTTATTCCCCATTTACTTTCCCTGGTTTGAACCTTGTTAAAACACCATAATGTGGGCCAGGGCTGGTGAGTAGATCTCCACATTTTTAGGGCTTTTTCTGTACATAATTTCCTGACTCCCTGTACAAGATCACACAGTGCAAGCTCTTACTTTCTTCACTCATTATGCATATGCTTCTGGGGAGATGTTATTTTAGCAGATACACAGCAAGAAGAGTACTGCAAGTAGCCATGACAAAATCAACATACTGGATGGGCTGACACGACACAAGCCATGCTGCTTTTTTAACCACTGTTGGTCTCTTGTGTCATCCAAACCCCACTGCGGTAATTCAGCAAGGCATGTTTGGTCTTTAGAACCCACAAATAGCCTGCTCTGTACCATATTGCCATATTGGGTTGTCCAAACCCAGAAAACACAACTCATCATAGTGTGAAGGTCTGAACCAGAGAGCTGCTTGACAAGAGGGGCTTGTTGCCAAGTGGCTAGCCAGAGAAGTCCACTGACCACTGCCGGTTGGCATGGCTGTTGGGGTTGTCCTCCTTTGCTCGTACCCTGCCCTGAGAGGACAATCAGCTGGGTGACACTGCAGAAAGGTGTGGCTGTTCAGCGGATTTTCCACGCTCCTGCCCTAAGCACCTGCAGGAAGCCCTTCACACGCACACTCACTGCTGCAGCAGTGCCTGTTCAGGGGCTGCGCTGCTCAGCTGATTCCCCTCCTGCCCGCCATTCTCATAGCCACTTGCCAGAGCTCTATCTCCAACCCAAGCTCCGCTTTGCAGGCACCCCATTGAGGTCATCTCTCTGGCAAGCAGGCGTGGGAAAGGGGGGCAAATGCTACCTCCCTTTTGCCATTGCTGCTGCTTGCAAGAAAGGCATTCCGGGGTTGGGGGACATCTGCCTAGAAAAGCAGGGGTGAGAAACCAAAAGGGCACCACCACTTGGCTGATTCTTCCCCTTCCTGCTTATGTGATGGGCTCCCTTCAGGCATGTGTGGGGGAACCAGGGAGTGGTCAATCAGCTGCCTGGCTGATCGGCTCCCCTTTCGAGTGTGAATCACGCCACCCACCCCACTCCAGCACTAACCACAGTTAAGAGTGTCAGCATCTGGCTACTTATCCCTGGTCAGCAATACAATACTGACAAGTGAGTGGCCTCCATGTACCCTATTTGCTGAGCCTTGGTGTGGCTGGCTGGGAGGCAATGCTATGGAGTGATCAAATGATGGTGGGGATCCACTTGCCAAACTGCTCTTCACACGTATTTCTCTATATCAATGCAAAACTCTGCCTATTTTGTCTCCATTCCTGCAGCTGAAACTTTATATCATGTTCAGGTCATATCCATGCAAAAAACTGTTTGCAGCAACTATGTGCAGAGTCTGTTCCTGAGTTACAAAGATGCCCATCTTTTTAGTTTCTTGCAAGACTTTAAGACACATGGGAAATAAGATGAGTTGTACTACAAGTAACAATTGCCAGAGGGGTAGCTGAGCTGGTCTGTTGCAGCAAAAATAAAAATTTATGGCACTTTTTAAAACAACCAGATCTATTTCAGCACAAGCTTTCATGGACCAGAGGTCACTTCATCAGATCCGAAGTTGGCAAGTTGTACGTGTGGGTGGACGAAGTATTGCGTTGGAAAAATAAGTCAGTGCATTTCACTACAGTGACTAATTACCTACCTACCTGCCAACTTAAGATAGCATCTGATGAATTGGACTTTTGTCCACAAAAGCAGATAAATTAATCAGTATTGGCCTTTAAGGTGTCACAAGACTCACGCCAAAAAAGACGACAACTTCTCTGGAAATGGCTTTAAACAGCTGGTTTCATTTTCTACTACAGTGGGGGACAAATGAGTTTCTTTGCAATGGCTGTGCTGCTGCTGCTGCTGCTGCTCCTGAAAGCCTCAGTGCTGAATGGCATGAGGGAGAATGCCTGTCTCCACCCACCCACCTTGTACCTATAAAGCAAACTGATTCCATAACCAGCTGGGCCAACAAGTTCTTGTATCTACTCAGGGATGTTAAGAAGCACTTTTAATATCATTGATCCTAATAACCAAACATGCTTTAAACGAATAAATTTATTATGGCATAAACTAAAGCCGACTTCATACCAGGTATAGCACAAGACATGTTGCTGCCTGAAGCAAAGGCAAGATGGTTCTCATTCTGTGTGCAGAAGCCCCTCGGACTGGTAGCCCTGGTGATAGGATGATGTCTGCCACACATCCGAGGCTGTAGGGCAGTTTGGGGGGCCCAGGGCAGATTGGCATATACAGTGCTCTCCTCCCGAACACAGGAAAGGCTGGGAAAGGTCTGCTGCTGGTGTTCCCCCCATGCCCCCCCACACAATCTGGTGCTTGAGCTGGTTGTCTCACTTTACCTAAATGAAGGCTGACCCTGCATCAAAGGCAGGTATAGAAAGAAGGAAACAGGAAGTCTAAATGGTAGTGATACTAAAAGTACAGCATGTAATGATTAGGACATGTAAACAAAACATTCTGAGATTAATAGATGAAAGGGGACAGCATATAAAGATGAGGTCTTTCTTGGAGAAAAAAAGAGCTATCAATATTTTCTTTTGTCTAAAGGGGGTGATCAGCACCTGATTAATGCAAACAAGGTGAGCCAAATCAGATTGCCATCATCATTACCTTTCAACAACTTCTAGGAAACACAGAGACCAGAAAACAAATTTCATTGGCTAGATAAATTCATGGATTTAAAGTTCAACTTTTTAAAAAGACAAGACAGACTTGATTCTGTAAGCTTGAGCCATGTCAATGGAAGTAGCAATCAATGGTGGTTGTTTTATTTGGAGGATTTCCTTTGATTCTTTGCTATCAACTCTTGAGTTTTCTCAAATGAGTTTGCTCTCTCCCTTTTTTCTGGCATATTCTGTGCAAGCTGAAGTCTAGTAAAGCAGAGCTTGGTGTATCATGTCCTATATTATGGGCTGTGTTTGCACCTGCCCTTCAAACCATGTCTGGTTTGTTAACGTCTGATTTGTTGTGGGAATCCTGGAGAAGACTGGTGCCAGTTTTTGTGCCGTTGATCCTCCTGGTCTCCTGCTACTCCTCCATGGACCTTGAAATAGCATGCCTGGAACAGTCTTCCAGCCTTTTGAGATGGGTTTAGCTGAGGCTTCTTGAAGGCTACCCAATGAATTTAACAGCAGTACAGAGTTCCCATATTCAAGCAAAGCAGGGCAACATACCAGCATGAAGTCCATCAGGACCCTTTCTGCTCTATGGGTACCAAACTGAAGTGGAATGACAGGTGAATGCCGCTGATTTATTCCTTGTAGTTTCTTAACAGTTTCTTTACTGAAGCTAATTTATGAAATGGCAAATGGCTGATGGTGGTAGGAGGGGTTTCTGGGCATTGATCAGATAGTAAAAAGCTAAAAACCAAACAGCAGGCATTGTTGTGAACTTTGCATTTGTTGAGGTAACATAATATTTAATGTGTGGCTGCCAAGTCAAATACCATCTAGCTATCTGTAACCTCTGGCCACACAAAAAAGTCAAAATTTTTATATTGCTATAATCACCAGGATGCAAGAGACATGATAAGGCTTGGCTTAGTCTTTATCATTAAACCAGTTTGTAATTCTCCAGAGAGCACGTAGTGAAACTGGTGCTGTTTATAGGCTTCAAGTATTACAAAACTGCTCCAGGAGCAACTTCTGAAATTGTTCATGTTGAAAATGCCAGCTTTTATCCAACTGTGCCTTATACAAATGGAAAAATGCTGCATTCTTCTTTTGAGACCTGGATCGCACATCTTGCTTTTGGTTTTGCCCCCATCTGTCACGCGCGCTTTGTGAGGCCACCTTCATTCACTGCTGTGGTGTTGACCTTTACAGTCCTAACTGGCCCAGAGCCCAGTTATTTGAAGGACCACCTGCCTGTGCCTTACAAACACCCTCTGAGGTCTTGCCTGCAGGCCTGCCGTCAAGATCCAGCCAACTGGCATGTGCCAGATGGGGGCTTTCTCTGCAGCAGTCTGACATCTTTGGAACTCTCTTCAGAAGAACAGGCCTTAATGTGTTTGCTTCAACCTGTATTTGTCACAATTGTGAGTTTGCTTTAAAGGTTCTTGTTTTTAGTTTTTGTAAAACACTATTGAGAAAGATAGATGACGAATGCTAATCACTAAAATTATTGAATGAATTAATCAATGAATTTTACACATGCTCAGAGGCATATGTTCCTTCACATGATTTTAACAAGGAGAACTGCAATGAATACTGTCAGTTAAAATCAATCTGGGTAGCTTTTTTTCTCTTCCTAACTTTTCTCCTCCATCGCCTAATTTACTGTTAAGCCATGAACAGAGGGGACTATACAAGCAGAGAAAGAAAGAGCAAACACGTGAGCGAGCGCTTGGCATATATAGCTTGGTTTGTAAG